CTCTTCCACCGGCTTGTTGGCCGCGCTGGGATCCCTCTTGCCCCCTTTCTTCTTCTTGACCTCAGGCTCCTTGCTTGCCTTCTTTTTGGGAGCCATGGCTGATGGCAGCCAGTGCTAGGGCCCCTTTAAGAGGCCAGGTGGTTGCTAAGGAAGTTGGCCCTATACATAGCAACAGGCGAGGCTGTGAGGCCAGGCTTAAAGGGACCCTGCCCTCTTCCCGGCAGGGAGCTGTGACTGGCCCTCCCCCTCCATGGCAGCCAGCATCCCAAGGCCCTCGGCTCAGTGTCCCAGGTCAGGGCATCTCAGACCAGGCCAGGCCCTTGGGGCACTCCTCTGGGCTCTGGGGAGGCCCCTCTTCCGCCCAAGTGGTAACGAGTCAGGTGGGAAATACCAGAATGGGTCAGAGCTCTAGGAATCACCATCCTGCCCCTTCCAACTGGGACCTCCCTGTAGCCTGCCAGGACCAGAAGCCAGTCACCTGGCCCTGAGCCCAGACAGTGCCTCTCCGGGGCCTCTGGAACCTTCTCGTGAACTCTCAGGTGATGCAGCCACACTGCACAGGCATCCTGCCTGCTTCACGCAGAGCCAGGACGGAAGGCCTGTGGTCAGAAAGGGACACCGTGTTGCAGCTCTCGGGCCGGTGTCCTGGGACGTCCTTGTCCATGGGCCGGGTCAGTCGTCCACAGAGCTTAGTGGAACTGGCCCACTGCCCGATGCTGACCCGGTGGCCCATTCTGTAGCTTTGGCCTGGGGTGGCAGCATCCCAAGGGGATGGTAGCGGGTGTCAGCTGGTAGATGCCTGGCCCAGCGTGGGTTCCAGACAGGCTCTGGCCCCTCTGGGGTCTGCCTCCATCCCTGATCTCCGGCCCATCTTGCCTGTTTGCCTGCTTGTGTCCTTGTTCAGCTGCAAGATGTGCGACTCTTACAGCCAGACACATGGTTCCAGTCCCAGCCCCTGCAGCCTGAAAAACACGTCAGGCTCGCACGTGTACCCACGCGTGCCCAAATCCGAGAATCCCCAAAACAGAAAGAATTGCAGCATAACCACACCCCATTATGGGTGCTTTCTCCCTCTCCTCTCTCTGTCTCTTTGTCTCTCTCTAGTGAGAGCATGTACCTTCTGGCAAATGGGAAAAAAAAAATCCAACTCTTGGGACTAGCAGGAGGCGTGGTGCTTGAGAGACTAGACTCCTACATGGCTGGCCCCGGTTCAACTCCCAATAAATTGGCTTGCTTACTCGCTTTCCCTCTCTCTCACTCCATGTCTCTCTCCTGTCACATTTTTAAAAATTGGGACCAGCAGTTAGCGTAATGGCTATGTCGCTGGACTCCCATGTAGTCGACTGCGGTTCAAGTCTAGGACCCGGTGGCTTAAAACTTACGCCGGGCGCGTGTATGTGCGTGCCCAAGATCCCGAGAGGAGAATGGAGGAGAAGGGATTGTGGCGTGGCCATCCCCCCCAGGGGGTGATTTCTTGTTCTGTCTCTCTGTCTCTGTCTGGTGAGTGCACGTGCCCTATAGCAAAAACCTCTCCAAAAAATTTTTTTTTAATTAATAAATAAAAGTTAATATTTCTTTAAAAAATTCAACTCTTGACTGGATGCCTTTATTAATTCATTACATTCCCTTTCTTTATTCACCTAATAGCCTTGACCCTTTGCCCTTATTGAGTGGTGTGTCTAGAGCAGCACCAGCGATGTGTATGGAGTAGCGGAATTACAGTCTGATCTGAGGCTCTGAGGGAAGGTACAGGAGGCTACGAGAGCGTGGGGGCAGAGTCAGGAACAGCTGCCATCGTGGATTCTGTCATGGTGGCTCTAGGCTTGAAGAAGTTACCTGGGGAGGAGCTGTGGGTGGGAGGTGAGGACAGAGTGCAAGGGTCCTGAGGCCTGAGAAAGCACCTCAAGGTTGATGAAGGCCAGACACGCTGCAGCTCAGGAAGGAGCGAGCAGGTGATGGAGAGGTGGGGAGACACCTCCCAGGCCAGAGCGGGGCCTGCTTGTTATCTGATGGGGAACAGGGAAGGCTCCCAGTTGCATCTGAAAGCTCTCCCTAGCTGCAGGAGGTGAAGGATTGGAGTGGGGGGCAGGAGTCGACTATTAGGTCAGCTTGGCCCCCGGGGTGACAACCGTAACTTTCCTGTGTCAGGCATTGTCCTAAAGCTCTCCACAGAAGGTCACAATGAATCCTCGCAGCAGTCTCGAACACGCGGCTCTGCACGAGGGAGGCATTTGTTCCCATTAAACTGATGTGAAAATTGAGGTGAAGTAACTTCAGGTCACACAGGGAAATCAGGGTCAAATTTAAGTCTGATTTCAAAGTCCATCTTGATAAACACTGAGAATCAAAAGTGTCCATTCTCCTGAAAAAGAGACAGACTGTTCTGTGGCCAAGGTAATGGATGACCACCAGGACCAGTTTTGTTTGATTTTTTTTTTTTTTTTGAGAGGTTTTGCTATAAGGGTGTGTGTGTGCCTGCCAGAAAGAGAGAGACAGGGAGACAGAAAGTGAGAAATCACCCCCCTGGGGGGGGTGGCCATGCCACAATCCCTTCTCCATTCTCCTCTCAGGATTTTGGGTGCGTGTGCGCGCACACATGCGCCCAGTGTGAGTTTAAGTCACCGAGTCCAGAACTTGAACCATGGTCAGCTACATGGGAATCCAGCGACATAGCCATTATGCCAACTGCTGGTCCTTTCGACAGAGCCTTTGTGCCACGTGGGGTTCTTTTTTTTTTTTTTTTTTTTTTAAGTTGACCAGAGAGAGAAGGAAAGTGAGAAAGCAAGTTGCCAGATCTGGGACTTGAACCATTGTCAGCCATGTGGGAGTCCAGCTGCCTTAACCCCCACACCACCTGCTGGCCCCCGATAGCTGCAAATTAAACCCTTGTATCAGTCACTTTTGCTGCGTAACAAACCATCCCAAAATTTAGCAGCTTAAGACAACAACCATTTATTTATTTCATGATTCACTGGGCGGGGCGGGGGGGGGTGTTTCTTCTGATGCACCCAGGCTCATCTAGGCACCTGTAGTCAGCTGGCAGGTGGGCTGGGAGCCAGTTGGTCCCTCATCTGTCTGTGCCTGGGGCAATGACGGGAACTTCCTTTCCTTCCAAATCAGAGTAGCCCAGGTGCTCACACGGCAGTCTCAGCCTCACAGAGCACAAGAGCAGGTCTGTTGCTACTAGGTCTGTTGAGGGCTAGGCTTGGGGTGACACAGGCTCTTTCTTGCCACATTGGTCAAAGCAGGTCACAAGACAGCCCTGAGCAAATGGGAGGGGCCGCGAAGTCTGTGGTTGCTTTTGCAATTCGCCCTATTTTTAAATTGTTTTCTGAACCAGATTTCCATTTGTTTATTTCTTGCAATTGAAGTACTCACCGATGACACCCTTGGCCCGAGACTCTTAGCCGTTGTCTTTAATTACTACACAATTGCAAACCACCACTGTACCAGTTTCCCCTGTCAGTGAGACTGAGGCCCACCCAACCCCCAGATTCTCGTCACTAACCTTAGTGGGCTGACCTGCATCCACAAGGGCCTGCAGCAACTTGCCATACAGAGGCTTGGACACAAGCACACAACACGGGCTGGCGTGGCCTAAGCTCTAGCCGGCGTGGACTCCCTGCTCGGCCATCGTGGGTGGCGTGGTCCAGCACTCTCGTAAAGCAGGGCTGAGGTTCATTACCCCTCAGCATCAAGGCCTTCCGCAGCCACGGTGGCAGGTTAGAAGAGAAGTCAAATCCCGAAGAAAGTACCACCCACCCATCTTGATCCACTCCTCACTGGCTTTCTGCTCCGGAACGGGTTTCTTCAGTTCTTGTCCCAGGACTTGGTGTGGCATGTGTAAATAACATAGATGGTTTGGGGCATTTTGTAAAAACTCTTTTGGGCTAACCTTGTAGCATGGTGGGTAAGCCCTGTGCATAGGGAGCCACATCTACCTGGTTGACTGTGGTTTGAATTCTGGGCCCTGCAGCTTGGAAAACTGTGTGAGTGAGTGTGTGTGTGTGTGTGTGTGTGTGTGTGTGCACGCATGTGTCCCCATGCACATGTGCATGCATACAATCCCGATGGAATAGAGAAATGGAGGAAACCTTTCTGCATGGTATGACCACGCCCCATTGTAGGCGTGATTTCCCCCTGGCAAACACACACACAAAACACCTCATTTAAAATTCTATTTATTGGGCTGGCCCACTGGCTTAATGGTTAAGGTACTGGATCCCACATGGCCCACTGTGCAGTTAAATCCCAGTTCCAACGGCTTGAAAAACATGCTAGGCACATGTGTGTACATGCGTACAATCCTGACAAGTGGGGGATGGAGAGGGAGACTGGGTGGCCGTGCCCCACTGGGGGATGCTCCCACTCGCCCTCTCCCTTTTTGGTGAGTGCATATGCCCATTGGCAAAAAAAAAGAAAAAGAAAAAAATCGAGAGACAAGGTCTTGCTGTACTTCCCAGGTTGGCCTCGAATTTGCGGTCCTTCTGCCTCCAGCCTCAGCTGGGACTACAGGCACACACCACCGTGCCTGGCACACACAGACTCACGTTCTGTATTCACACCATCCCATCGTCTGTTTTAAAAGTTTATTTGTCCATGATAAAATGCATATGCATGCACGTCAGAGAGACAGAGAGACAGAGAGAGAGAGAGAGAGAGAGGAGCACCCTCCACGGTCTGATCTTGCTGCAACCCCCTTCCTCCACCAGTCCTCCAGTCCACTGGCTCGTGGGCTCTCATGCATGTGCCCAGTGTGTTTCGGGCTGACTGGGCCAGGGATTCGGACTGTCACCACGTGGGACCGGGCTCCTCCTGAGCAATGTACTAACGCTGCACCACAGACTCCAGTCTATCACTACTGGTTACGGCTTTCTGATGGTAGACAATATGGAGACGGCTGCATTGTCTTTTTGAGAGGTTTTCGCTATAGGGCGTGTGTGCTCGCCCAAAAGACTGAGAGAGACAGAGAGACAGAAAGCGAGAAATCACCCCCCCGGGGGGATGGCCACGCCATAATCCCTTCTCCTCCATTCTCTTCTCGGGATCTTGGGCACGCACGCACACACACCTGGCATCTGGGACTCAGACTGCAGTCAACTACATGGGAGTCCAGTGACATAGCCATTAATACCAACTGCTGGTCTTGTCTTTTGTTTTTAATTATTTAATTATTTTTAAAATTTATGATTATTTTTAATTATTTTTGGAGAGGTTTTTGCTATAGGGCATGTGCGCTCACCAGAAAGAGACAGAAAGATAGAAAGCGAGAAATCACTCACTAGGGGGATGACCACACCACAATCCCTTCTCCTCCATTCTTCTCTCGGGATCTTGTGCACACATGCACATGTGCCTGGCATGAGTTTAAGCCACTGGGTCCAGGACTCAAACCATGGTCGACTACATGGGAGTCCAGCAACATAGCCATTATGCCAACTGCTGGTCCCTAATTATTTAATTTTATTATTAAAAAAAATTGCTATAGGGCACATATTCTCAGAGAGAGGGGGCGGGGAGAGAGAGAGAAAGCAAGAAAGCAAGCCACCAGGTTTGGGACATGAACTACAGTTGGTCACGTGGGAGTCCAGCACCTTAACCACTACGCCACCTGCTGGCCCGTTTTTTGTTTTGTCATTTTAGTTTCTGCTATAAGGCACATGAACTCGCCAGAGAGAGAGAAAGTGAGAAGTGACTCTGGGGAGATGACCATGCCATAGTCCGTTCTCTCGATTCTGGGCATGCATGTACACATGCTTGGTGTGATTTTCAAGCTGCCAGGTCCGGGACTTGAACAGTGGAACCAGCTATGTGGGGGATCCAGTTACTTAACCTCCACACCACCTGCTGGCCCCATGACTGCTGTGGTTAAGCCATGATCTGCCATGTACCAAGTGGGGGGCCCTGGCCACCTTACTTTGTCTCTGGCTTGGCCTCCCGGTCCGTCTCAGCTGTCTATCGGCAGTACAGTGATGGGCTAATACTCACAATGTAAGGACAACTCCATCCCTACGGCACCCTGGGGCTGCTAGTGGCCCAGGACAAGAGTCACAGATTGTCCTCAAATGTGAGACGGCCTTAGACCTAACGCCGGTGACACACACCTGGATCCGGAAGCCTCCCAGCCACAAGCCAGTGGCCGCTGCCTCTGCAGAGACCACTCGGGTTTCCTCCCACTCCCCAAAGTAAAAGCAGACCGGGGGCAGCCCGGACTCCGCGAGCGGGCACTGATGTCTTTATTGACTCGACCCGAGTGCTTTAGTACAGAACGGTACAGGGATGATACATGTTTGTGCTTCAATACTTCCAAACACGGAGATGCGCATAGTTTCTCAAGGTAAACAAGTTTCAAGACAGACTAGCTTTTTTAAAATATCCTTTTGATAAATTATCTTTATATAAATAACAGAGAAAGGAAAACCAACATGTTCGACAGACAAGGTCCTGAAGCATGAGCATCGTTTGGTCAAGGGAGGGGACGACGAGCAGCGACAGTGCAAGTACCTACAGCTCTGTCCTCGGGAAGGAGGCACCTGCGGGGGCGGCAGGAGAGACTGAAAACTAAGCTGAGCGCGAAGGGGGCGTTTCAAAGCCTGGAGGAGGACGTTAGGCACGATGCATCTAACGGGCGGCCGAGGACCGTGTTCTGACGGGGAAGCGGGCCGAGTTGAACTAGCATACACCACGTTGGCAACGACACCACGAGACACAGAAATACACGCACAGTCTGCGGGGGCTAAAGGGCGGCGGGGAGAGGGCTGGACAGGGGACATTTTTTGTGACTTCCACTGTCATTCTATTTCACGACAACAGCAGCAGGACAAATGGTGTGCTCACTACTGGAGGACGGAGGGCTGCTGCGTCTTGAGGATGCCGAGACATCCTTCCTGCATTCGCTTCGTTAGTTTTTGCTTTAGAGCTAAGTTGTATACAGCTAAGTTTTTATACAGAGAATAAAACGATCGTCTTCTCTTACAAGCACAGTGACGTATGACCCCACGCTGCACAGAAGAAAGTGTCATGGCGTAACTTAGACTGAGGATAACCTGACAGGAGGTGCTGGCTGTGCGGGCACACGTCTGTTCAGTCCACGGGCTGTTCTTCAGGCCAAGGACCCTTCCCTACGGCAAAGACCCCTGCAAAGAGACAGCAGTCTCCGAGACCATCTGCTCTAGTCCATTCTTGACCCCTGAGCTCTACCCAGGCCGACCCTACCAGGGAAAATGAGCAGTTATGGGTGATCTGGGGAAGGAGGAAGGGGTCTAGCAGAAGGATCGGGCCTAACTGCTTCTCCAAAGGAGACGAGGTCCCAGTGGGGCTCTGCTTTCACGTCTGGGCACCGTGACTTACTCTAGAGAAGAGGACACCATCCTGGCTTTGAGCGGACACCCGAGCCCCTGCCCACGACCAGGGCACCAGGGGTGCGAGCGCCTGGGAAGGGCAAAGAGGGTGGTTTCACCTCCAAGCTCAGGGGCTGTGCCCCGATGGTCGTTTCCCAGCTTCTCTGGACAATGGCAGGCACCAAAGGGTGGAGAGGGGGGTGAAGGTAAGCTTTATCCTCAGTGTGAGATACCCCGAGAACACAGACAAAGCTGTGGTTCCCAATGAGAAAAGGAACACCCAACGCAAGTTTTTAAAAACATCCAAACATCTACCTTTCCATTCTCGAGCGATTTGCGCATGTCACGCAGGGCTATGTACAAGGTCACGGTCATAAATAAGGGGGAGAAGGCGTCCGTTCACCTAAACAGTGCAAACTCCCGCAGCGTGGCGCTTGCACGTGAACTCCTCCTGTCAGGGGACATATACAAGGTACTCTTCTTAAAAAACACAATGCATTATTTTCTCGTTTCAAACGAGGGCAGGGCATCATTAAACACGAGAACGCGGCAGCGACAGTGCCGGCGGCCGGGCGTGCAGAGCTGGGGGCAATGGACGGAGTGTCAGCGAAGTCATGGAAGGCGGTCGGAGCACGGGAGGGAGCAGAGGGGCGGGCGTTGGAGGGGGCTTATTTTTTTAACTGCTTATTTCTTCATCTGTTTTATTCAGCTTCTTCAGCGTGTCCAGCAGTTTCTGTGGGGTGAGAATGTGCGTGGATCCTGGGGAGGCAGAGAAGACAGTGAGCTTGCTGGGTCGTCTCCCACTGGCTTCCTTTCCCGTTCTTGACTCCCGGCTTGGCACCCTCCCTGCCTCCCCCACCCTGGAAGGGGAGTGGGGCTGGGGCTTGGGGTCCTGTCACAATAGTCCTGGGAGACATTAGGGGCTGTGGATGAACACAACACATCCTCTGGCTCGGGCAGGGTCCCAGGCGATACCAAGGACTGCGCTGCCGCTCCGTCAGGGCCCAGAGCCACCTGCCAGGTGAGGAGCAGCTGCACCTCCAGTGCTCCCCTGAACCCAAGGTGAGGCCGGGGAGAGGAATTCCAAACCACAGGTGGAGAATGGGGCAGGGGGTGGCAGGCCAATGTGTGGGAAGAACGGTCCCTGGTAAGGAGGAAGGTGATGGGCAAGGCCCCGGGGGGAACCCACTGACCTCTGGGAGCCAGCCGATTGATTCGGCCATGGTAAGTGGGTGGGACCTCAGGTGTGAGAGGGAAAGGGCTGGGGACCTGAGGCCTTACCTTGCAGAGACCGCACATTGTAAGAGAATAGAAATGCTTGCAAAATTTTAAGCTAATGGAATTTGATACATTTCTACTGCAAAAAATAAAAAATAAATAAAACAAAAATAAATGAAGGCCTTTTTTTTTTTTTTTATAAGGAGAGAGAGATCTGGAAAGTGCAGTAAAAAAGGAGGCATGGATTGTGTGGTTTGGACATGGACTAATCAAACAGAACAGTGACTGGTGGGTGAGAGCATGAGGCCCGCACGCATGCAGCAGCGGGCGTCAGAGGAAGGCCCGGTGAGAAGGGAACTAAACAAAAGAGATTGTTCTTGAAAATGTGCCTCTCCGAGACGACAGGCAAGGGGGTAGGTGGGTGAAAAGCACCAGATGCCAGGTTTTCCCCCCGAGGGCAGGCAGAGGCTCTGCAACTCTGGGTGAGCCCAATGACAGGGTGTCCATGCCTTTGACCACCATCGCTCAGCTGACTCGGACTGCGGGCACTGCGGGCCTTCCTGGTCACTCCAGACAGGAATAAAACCCCGTAAAGCCCTCCCTGCGGGCTGTGTGGGGCTTCCCCCAACATCCTGTTCTCTGCAGTCCGAGCGCCAGCCCCACGGCACTAAGCGACAAGCTGGTCCGTGCGTGGCTACCTCCTGGAGATGCCAAGCAGAGGCCGTTTGCAGCCTGCACGGGCCCCTGAGGCTCCAGAAGCAACGGTGTAGCAGGCCCTGGGTCCTCCTGGCACTCTCACAGCACTCCTGTCCCTGCAGACACACATTCGACGTTACCCATCTTCCTGCCAGTCCAACAGGAGACCCCAAGGCTGCTTCAGCCCGAGGCTACAGATGGCCACAAGCGTGCAAGGCTTGCCCCAAATCTGAAGGGTGAGCCGCTGCCGGAACGAGGGCCTTCCAGACCTCGACCTGACACAGCCCCTGGACACAGGGCACGGGGGTCAGCCTGGGGGCATCAGCCTAGGGCGTCCTAGTTAAAGGCAACGAGTGCACGTGCCAGAGGAAACAGTCCCTTTGCACTCCTCCCAGCCATCTGGCTGGGCACACTCGATTTAGAGGAAAAATCAAAAAGTTCTGGTTAAAGACACCTGTCCTGAAGTGCTCCTACCCTTACACGTGTGCAAATTCAGGATCTGGCGGAGGCCAAGCAGAGGTTAGGCAGTCCATGATCTAGGTTTTGATCATCTGCTGTTCCCAGTCCTTTCTGAACAAGAAAGATTGCAGGATGGGGAACAGAGACAGTCGGTGAGGCCTCAGACTCAGCACCAGGCACACGCCTGGGCTTCCGCTTACCCGGGGTTTGTAAAGGGACCAGGCCAGGTGGCCTTGACCCAAACCGCCTGAAAGCCAGTCCTTAATACTTGATAATCTCTACCAATTTAGTAGCATCGTTCAAGCTTTTCATGACTGAGAACACTGCCTGCAAGCTGAGCTGGGCGAATCTACAACCCAGGTTTTGCAAACGTGCTTTGACCCCACAGGAGACTGACCTTGCTGGCCTTCTAGAAGAAGCTGTCCCAAGGGCCCCTTTTACTCACGTAACTGGGAGATTATGAAATGTGGACAGTGATCTCCAAAAACTAAGCTGGGGTCAACCCAAGTGACCGTTCATGTGTTTTCATAACCACAGGCCAGATATAGCAGTTCTGTCCCGAGAGGACAGAACCCTCTCTACACTGAGAGGACCCGAACGTCAAAGGAGTTCTAACAGACTGGCTGGTCTAGGCACTCTCCCGTCGGAATCCGACCCAAGGACTCAGAACTCCGGTGGTGCCAGAATGTGGAAGTTTAAGAGCCCAGGTGAGTCAACCAGCAGATAGAGTGGAGTAATGGTTATGTTGCTGGACTCCCACTGTGGTTCAAGTCCCAGACCCAGCGACTTAAACTTACGCTGGATGCATGTTCATGTGTGCCCAAGATCCCAAGAGGAGAATGGAGGAGAAGGGATTGTGGCATGGCCATCCCTGTTGGGGGTGATTTCTCGCTTTTTTGTCTCTCTGTCTCTCTGGGAAGCACATGAGCCCTGCAGCAAAAATCTCTCTTCAAAAAAAAAAAAAAAAAAAACCAGATAAGTCCGACCAGCCAGGGTGAAAAATAGTTATCCGGCTCACCCCTCTCATCCTACAAGTGGGAAAAATGAAGGCCAGAAGGGTGGTGGCACAGCCAGGCCAGAAGCCATGCCACTGGTCTTTTGATTCTGGGCACCTGTGGCCTCCAGGGGTTGGGGGTGCAAACAGGATGTGCAGGGGAACATCTGCAAGTTAACGGGCAACAGGCCAGTTCTGGGTTCAGATTCAAATCTGAGTCCCTCCAAAAAGGAAATCCACCTGATCCCAATCTGAAATGAAGTAATATATTCAATATAATAAAACTGCAAAGGCTTTCTGCCAAGTGCTACGTAAAACACAGCAGGTCTAACCCCGCTTTTGTCTTCTCTTTGTTTCTGACAACCTCTTGGATATTCCTTAATAATTAGTACTTTTTTAAAAATTTGCTATATGTGTGCTTGGAAGAGAGAAAAAGTGAGAAAGCAACTTTCATGGGGATGGCCACACCACAAACCCTTCTCTTCCATTCTTTTCTTGGAATTTTGGGCATGCATGCACATGTGCCTGGCATGTTTTTCAAATCACTGGGTCCAGGACTAGAACCACATCATCAGCCATGTGTGATCCAACTACCCTAACCACCACATGATGACCGGCCCCAATAATTGGTAATTCAAATATAAGCCAGCCATAGCACAGAGATCAAAATACAACCAAAAGATTTCATTTCTTAGAGAATCTGGAGGGATGATAAGCAGGCAGTAAGGTGAGGCTTGGTGGTTAACCCAGCCCTCAGGGGAGCCAGTCTCAGCTACCAGAGAGGAGCTGGGAGGCAGAGTGAGGCCTGTCACCCAGGCCTGATGCCTGCTAGAGACTCTCATTGTGTCAGAAAGGAAACCCATCTTCTCTTGAAAGAGAAGTGGCCACAACGCTGCTGTGCAGGAGAACGCCAGGCAAGGCTCTGCACCGTGCTGTACTTTGGCCACTGGATGGTCACGATGGAAAGGGAAGGTCAGACTTCAATCTGTGTCTGACTCCCCTGGTGTTTGGGCTCTAAGGCTTGCTGCTGCTTAACTCAGCTCAAAAGCCCAGCACCGTCCCCCGTGATCTGGAAGCCAGGAAGAGAGAACCAGAGTCTCCTCATCCTCTGTCCCACCGGCAGCTGGGACCTTCTCTGCTGACCGAGTCTACTTATCCTGGGACCTTCTCTGCTGACTGAATGCAAACAAAGGAAAGCACTGCAAAGAGGCTTCTTCTGTAGCAGGGGACCCCAGAATGCAGCCTCGCAGGAGCTCTTGGGGTGTGGGTGTGGGATTCCTCAGATCCTGCAAGTGGCTTGCTACTGCTGCAGTCTCTGCTAAGCACGGTTTGTCCTAGAGGTCTTCAGATACACCTGCAGCAGTCCACCTGTCCGCCCTGCGCAGAGCCAGGTCCCAATTAATGATCTATCAAAGTGTTCCAAAGGAAGAGTTGTTTTAAACAATCACTTTATTCATCCCCACTGGCCTTGCTTCTAGGGAGGGGGAGCCTGGGCAGCCTAGGAGCTGAGGCCAGGCCGTAGCCGGCTCCACTCTCGGTGCTTGCCCCACTGACGACAATGCCATCCCTCTGTGGAGGGGAGGAGGGAGAAGAAAGGGCACAGCCCCATTCCTGGTAGGACAGAGCAGTTCCCTTCTACGAACTGCTGGGTCACGCGTGCTCCCGACGTGACCCAGCCAGGGTTCTGAGCTCCCGAGTTCACCGAGCAGTGAGAGGGGCGAGGCTGCTTGGGCACGAGTCTGAATGACTGTCTGTGTCGAGGGAGCCTGGGCACTGCCATCGGCCCACCTGTGTGCGTGTGCTGTGGCCCAGTGAGTAGGGGTGACCCGCAGCCACAAGGGTGCTCACGCAGGAGCGGAAGCTAGTCAGGTCTCTCTCCACTGCTCACAGGTGACTCACACTCCCTGACTCACCAGGCCACATCTCAGCTAAGGGTGAAGGGGCATGTCCACTGTCAACAGTACTAAGTCAGATGTAAGAAACGTGGCCCTGAGTTACTAAGTCCACGAGGCGTACTTGCGTCAGCCTCAACTAAACACATCGCAGTAGGCTCCTGACACACATGAAGGATGGAAGGGGAGACAGAATGAAGACGACTTTAAAGAATAAAATCTGGACAGTCTCCCAGACAGACCAGGGGTTCCCAGGAAACAAGCCTGTGGGAGAGGAGCTCTTGAAAGCTGAACAGTGTCATGAACACATTTCTATTGACAGACTCTGAGTTTACCGAGACCTCGGTGGGAGACGGGCCGAGGACTCCAGAGAAGACACACGGGAGAAGGAAAACGAGGGAAATGTTCTTCCCACTGAAGACGAGTCCACCAAGTACCTCTGTGCTGGTGACCCATCATGCCCCAGGACTTGATCCTTGCTCAGCACTAGTTCTAGGGAAACGGTGTTCGCCTGCCTACCTACCTGTCCAACCACGGTGACCTGGAGTCTAGCCTCATGCTCCCTGCCAAGCGTCCCTCACTGTCAGGTGCCCCAGGACACCTCCACTGGGTGCCCACCTGCTTGCACATGGCCGCCCTGCAGGTCAGTGGCCTCTCTCTCAAGCCCTCATGTCACATCACAACTGGGACGCGCTATATTCCCTGCAGGCGCTCGTGATTGGCCCTGAGCCATCCGGCTTGTGGACCAAGCCTCAGGCACCTCCAGCTTCCAGCTCCCTCGGAGGGCTGTCCTGTGTGGTGGGACCCAGCGGCCTGCAGCCGTCGGACTGAGCAGCAGGGAGCCCAAGGCATGAGCTGGCACGTGGGGGCCCCAGGGTGTCATGGCAGGGCTGTCAGGGCAGTGACGGACACATTTTCAATCGGTGTTGAGAACTGCAAGCATTTTCTTGTTGAAAGAAAATCAAATAAATAACAAATTAAAAAGGGGGGAAAACAAAGAAAGAGTGACGGAATAATCAAAGAAAGCCCTTCAGAGTGGAAGAGTTTCTTTTCTGTAATAAGCTGTGTTTACTTTGTTTCTTTGGCTCTCACTCCATTGTTGGAGCCTGATCCTCAAAAGATACCCTAGAGGACTCCCTGAAGTCGGGGTGTCTCAGGTCCATGAGAAATTTGGTGGGAGTAAGAATATGAGTAGAACCTGCGGGAGAACAGAGCCAGCTGACTGCTTGAACAGAGGAAGGTTATAGGAACATGCCAACTAGGCCTACGCGTTACAGCCATGACGTATGAGGAAGCACGACACACATGCACATGCACACACACACGCACGCACACACGCACACACACAGACGGCAGGGCGGCTGGCATGCGCGGGGCGGGCGAGGCCACACAGTGGGCATCAGCTGTCTGTGAGACCCTTCCGTGAATCTGATGGGCGACTTGATATCTTCAGGTTTCCACCTCCCAACAGGGACCCTCGAGTCAGGTCTAATAGCAAAGGAGAGAGTTCCACCCAAAGCCTGGCTGTGACCACCTCTGTCTGGGAGAGTTGTGCTCGAGCGCGGAATTATCCAACACATTCATGCAACACATACGCAGGCAGGAAGAGAGCTCTATCGCCTGGCCTACACGGCAGAAATGGGGGGACAATTACAGGGAGGAGTGCTGACCAGACAAGGGGAGCCCGAGGGTGGTCCTGGACCACCGATCCTGGTGTCAGCATGGTGGGTAGACGGCCTCAGGTCCATCTCGCTAAACTCAAGACGAGCCACACGGACTGGTCTACAGAACCCACTCACTTAGACAGCGTGGAGCAGGGGGTGCAGTGATTTGGTCACCCCAACTGGAGGTATAAAATGGATCCTTGTTATCGAGATAATGGCTGGGCCGAGAATTATGACCATAGGAGGCACCTACTGGGGGAGAGGGTCAGAGGAGTATTCCCAGCTGGGGCAGCTCAGGGCTTCCCACACAGGCCACATGTAAATGGCCCAGGAGGCCGCCTTAGGCCCCAGAGAGTACAACTTCCCACTGGGGGTAGAGCACACCCCCTTTCAAAGGGAGTCAAGAAGCCTCACCCATGGGCAGTATTCGTGATGGCCTCTTGCCAATCAGTGCTAAGAGGGACCCCTGAGCAGGTGCTACTCCGTTTTCTTAAGAGGAGGGGATGAAAGGGAGGTATGTGACCAAAGCAAGGTCTTTCTCAGCTCACTCGTCCCAGCCCTAGCAGCTGCAGGAGCTCCCGCAGGCAGGAAAAGGGAGAACACCTTCCTGCACTTAACTGCTCCTAGGAGTTGCTTCCTCCCTCTTGGAAACTAACAAGAAACGGCCCAGGGGGTACAGCAAACCTAAAGTAGGCAGGCACGGCCGGGGGAGCCCTTGGCATGTCCAGCAGCGAGGCTGACGGGTTTCAGGCCTCGTCTACCCACACATGCACGTCCACAGACAGGTGGGCAGAGAGGGTATATGACCTACCATTCCCCGAGCATCTCCTGGCCTGCGGCCACGAGAGGTAAGGACGGTCCCAATCTCAGCCTAGTTCAAGGCTATCAGCGGGCGTTATCAGGTAAGGGATGGTAGCCACCTGCTCAGGGTGACCCTGCACAGCCGCCCCTGAGCACAGATGAGCCCGAGTCTGCTGAACTCTGATCAGATACCTCCTTCCTCACACCTGCCCTTAACAGGATCGAGTGAGACGGGCCTGAGAAAGGAGCCCTCCGCCCGTAACTGCTGTGGTCCTCAGCGGCTACCTAGAGAATGAGACTTGCTGGGGTGACAGAGTCTATGACAGAATGCGACACCGAAGCGTGGAATGGAGTCAGGTGCGATGGCGCAGCGCCTTCCCTCGGGAAAGCGCGCCTTACTCACCTATCAGCACCTCCCACTTGCCGTTGGCTTGGGTCACTTCGTAAGCACAGCGCATCTCATTCAGGCTCACGCCCCCAAGGATGAAAATAATGAGGCGGGGGCCACTGCGGTACTCTCCTGGGGCCTTGTTCTTATGCCAGTGCCCGTAGCGGGCGCTGAGGAGAGAGTGAGAGGTTAGCGCTGCGAGCCTGCTCTCCGGGCACCTGGCGCTCCCCCCACGTGCTGACACGCGTGCTCTGCACGCCTGTGCCACAAATGATGCAGGTGCTTAGCAACTGCAGCGGCGTTTAACTCCGAAGCAATCCGAAATGGTTTGGCTGCCGGGAGGAGAGATGCCACAGCGCCTGTGCTGTGACCTTGTCGCTCAGAAACACGGGCAGAGGAAGGCTTGGCTCAGTGCCGATGGTTGTCGGGTCAGGGTCACAGCTTCAGCCTGCTGTACGGTGTTCGTTTAGGATCTGTTGATGGTGCACGTCCTGGGCTTGCCGGGACACTCTGCTGGCAGTGAGTGGGGACGCCAGAGTCTAAGCGCTGCCTCCGGCAGGCACACTGGCTTCTGGAACAAGCACGCACCAAGGGCCTCACGTGGGCCAGGCCACCGGGTGCTGGATATCCCCAGCGACACAGCCCTTTCCCATCAAGAGGTCGCAGTGTAAAGGGGCAATGGGGAACAGGAGGGGAGTCTGAACCGTGCTATGATGAACTCGGGATTGCTGGGGTAAACATGGGACCTCGTCCTGGCATCATGAAGAGGCTTCCCAGGAGCACTGAGCTGCTTTTCCTTTTGTTTTTTGGGGGAGAGGTTTTTTTTGCTAAAGGGCTCATGTGCTTGCCAGAAAGACAGACAGAAAGTGAGAAATCACCCCCCAGGGGGGATTGCCACGCCGCAATCCCTTCTCCTCCATTCTTCTCTCAGGATCTTGGGCACGCATGCACATGCGCTCGGCGTGAGTCTAAGCCACCAGGTCCGGGACTCAAACCACGGTCGGCTACATGGGAGTTCAGCAACACAGCCATTATGCTAACTGCTGGTCCCTGAGTTGCTTTTTCAAAAACATGGGTAGAGTCAGGGAAAACAGCACTTCCATCATGGGCTGCTCCCAGGGGGCCTCCCTCTGTTCCTGGGCTTCCCTCAATAAGCCTTTACCTTGGACTCAGGAACAGGGAGAAATGGGCCGCTCCCAGATTAAGGAAAGGGGAGAGATCAAATGAAAAGGGCAGGTCTCTTCTGGGGGCTGAAATGTGTCATCCTTCCTTCTGACTTACATCACGGTTACTTCCAAAGCTGGAAGGCACCAGGCAGGCTGTCCAGACCAACACGGAGATATCACAGCCACTTTCTTAGCCCTCCGCACCGTCCTGAGCTGCCCTGCTGCACTGACTGGGCTGGCCGTGGCACGCCCTGGGATCTCATACTTGCGTCTCACTCCGAATTTGGGAAGAAGCGTTTTTTGTAGAGGGACTGCACGATGCCACAGATGCTACTGCAGGCCACTGGCCCGGGCTCAGGAGAAAGCTTGAGAGGAGGGACACGTCCTCCAGCGTGAACTTGTCAGGAACTGCCCGGGCTCCAGTGCTGGGGTCACCCTCTCAGGAACGGCTATGCTACCACCCCCAGTGCTCGCGCTCAGCCCCGACTGCTCTCAGGACCGTTAGAACACAGCACGTTCTGTTCATCCGTTTCCCAGGTGGTGGCTGCGCGTGCCTCCACACCTGGACACCTGTGAATGTGGCTGCTAGGAACACTGGTGTGGTTTTAGCCAGGGTGGCTGGGGAAGACCGGAGCAGGTAATACTGGATTAAAGACCTGAAGGAGAGGAGGGGCGAGCCATGCAGATCTAGCTGCAGACAGATCATTTCAGTCGAAGAGACAAGCAAGCACAAAAGTGTGTCTGCATTTCTGAGGAAGCTCCGGGATGTTGCAGCAGAGGGGCTGCATCCCTCCCAGCAGGACTGCCACGTAGCTGACATCAGCCAGGGATGATGCTGATCCCTGGTCAGGGACGCCTGCTCTCCCTGGTCTACTCGGGGAGTCCCACCTACCTGACAGCAGTGGTGCTGAAGGAGGCAGAGGAGCGGGTGGAGATGTAAGGGTAGTGCTTGGTGTCAAGTTTGTCCTCAATAGTGTCCTGGAAAGGAAAGGGACAGAGGTTTGAAACGGCCTGCCATCTGTCTGCAAAGGTGACGATCATTCCAAAGGGACCAAGGTGGATGATTCAAAGGACAAGTTAGTCAGTGAGCAATGTGGCCAGGTTTGCAATAGCCGAGCTCCCTTCCCTGCTGCCAGGCGGCTTAGCGCGGCGCTCACAATGACTGGGTGTTCTGAGACTGGCTGTCACACTGAGAGAAGTTTGCGGGACAAAACAAAAGCATTTGTATTTCTTGTGTGTCTTCCACATGAAAAAAGTTTTTGCAATCCATGTGTTTTAAATGTTGCATTGCGTCCCTGGGTTCCTGACACTTGTCATCAGCCCAGCAGAAACCAGGTACAAGCAGTCTCTCCGGCCAGAGACAGCCCCGATAGCCTCACTTTTCAAGGACCTAATGGTCTTGTGGGTGGATTCCCGCTATCTACCTCCTGCTGCCTAGAACCTACTCTCAGCATCCACGGCTTCCCCGTGAGGCCTACACATGTCTCCCGAGGGGAACAGGAGGCGGAGGAGGACGAGAAGACAGAGAACAAAGGCAGGGATGAGACAGAGGAGTTGGCTTCCTTCCACCAAGCGAAGGAATGTAACTGGTTTCCAGAGCACCCATCCTGGTTTGTGGGTTTTAAAATAGGAAGCGGACTCACTCAACGTAAACTGTATTTATTTTAATGTACAATTCCGTAGGAACACCTGGGGTGCTCTGGATTAACTAAAGGGTCGTGGGCTGGGCCCCTCATTCTTTAACTCCAGTTCTGTTTGCCCATCAAGGGAGGAGGTCGAGTGGGTTACCTCCAAGTCCAACCCTAAAGATCCCGGGTGCTGTGCAGGGTTTGCTCCCGCTGCAAAGACAGGTGGGAGCAGCGCCATGGCACTCCCTCACGGCCAACGCAGTCAAACACCTCTGCCAGAGCACAGGAAGCAGAGCAGACCCCCAACACGGAGCTGCACATACAGCTAAGGAGTGTCCCTGATGGGTTATGCACAGGTTAGCATCTGACCCCTACAGTGCTTGACATGCGGTAAAGGGAGGGACTGTCAAGGGGTCTCTATAATGTGGGACTAAACCCTCCAAGACACAAGCAACGAGCAAATGCGTCTTGGAGATTGGCATCTGGCAGATCTTAACTCTCCATAAACCTCAGAACCAGGCATGTCCTGACGGCCGTGGGCCTTGGACACTGAGTACAAATCCTCACAGGAGGAAGATACAAGGTGTCCCGGCCAGCCCGGAGCAGGCGAAGCTGGAAGTGCCGGGGCAGTCCACTGAGAAGCCCGTGAGGCAACCTCTGAGCACACCTGCCACACTGACCTCCATGATGTCCTTGATGATCGGGGTCCACCGGGAGAGCTGGTAGGTCTGCTCGCTGATACGCTCCTTCCGCTCCGGCTTGCTCCGGCGCCGCAGCGTGGACTGGGGGCAAACACACATAGGTTGGTCTCTGAGGCAGGGCCACCAGGGCCCCAGGTGACTTCTGCTGGCCTCTGGGAATTCACCTAAGGACTCTTCAGAGTCAGGACTGGCAAAGAGGAATCAGTGGGGGAGGTTTTCTCTGCAGGAACGCCAACTGTGCACCTTTTAGGGAACCTTCTGAGTGTTTAAAAAATAATTATCTGGGACCAGCAGTTGGCATAATCACTACGTTGCTCGACTTCCATGCAGTCAACCGCGGTTTGAGTCTCAGACCCGGTAGCTTAAACTCATGCCAGGCGCATGTGCATGTGTGCCCAAGATCCCGAGAGGAGAATGGAGGAGAAGGGATTGTGGCGTGACCATCCCCCCGGGGGGTGATTTCTAACTTTCTGTCTCTCTTTCTGGTGAGTGCACACATCCTATAGCAAAAACCTCTCCCCCCCCAAAAAATTATTTTATTTAACTTTATTCATCATCATCATCATTGTAATTTGACGAGAGGAGGGAGGGAGAGAGAGAGAGAGAGAGAGAGAGAGAGAGAGAAAGCAAGCTGCCAGATCCAGGCTCAAACTGCGGTTGGCCACGTGGGAGTCCAGCACCTTAACCACCATGCCACCTGCCGGCCTCCTCTCTGTTTCTTTATAGTCTTTAATGGCAAATGTGGGTCAAACAGTTAAGTACCATTTTTATTTATTTATTTGTTTATTTAAGTTTTATTTTCATTTTAATTGCCAAATAGTAACTGTAAATATCTGCAGTGTACAATGTGTGCTTTGATATCTATCTACTGTTGTCCCTTGGCAGCCCGGGTATCCATGGGGAATCTCTTGAGGATAACAAAACCCTCGGATGCTCAAGTGCATTATATGCAACAAGGCAGTGGCCAACTGCAGTCATGCAGCAGTCGTGCAGTGCTCTGCAGTGCTTAAGCCCCATGAGAAGATCTGGGTCCATGTCCCAAGGTCTACTTGTACACACCAGGCATGCATATGCCTGTAATCCGGGCTTGGCTGAGGCTGGGGGAGGACTGAGGCATGAAGACCTGTTGGGGGTGTCCCAACAGAAGAAATAAACAAATTAAAACAAACAAACAAAAGGCAGAGTCAGTTGGGCTAGCAGGTGTCACAGTAGTTAAGACGCTGGACATGGTTGACTGTGGTTCAAGTCCTGGACCTGGCAGCTTGCTTTCTCACTGCCCGCCACCGCCTGTCTCTCTGGTGAACGCAAATGTCTTGTAGCAAATTAAAAGGTAATAATAATGATAAATAAAATAAAATAATTCTACTTAAAAGAAAGTGGCAGAAGGGACGGCAGGCGGTGCGGCGGTTAAGGTGCTGGACTCCCACATGGCTGACCGCAGTCTGAGTCCCGGACTGGAGGCTGGCTTTCTCACTTTCCTTCTCTCTCTCTCTCTCTCTGATGAATGCACATGACCTGTAGCAAACTGGAAAATAATAATAATAATAAAAATTAAATTAAGTAAATGAGTCTTTAAAAAAATGGCAGAGTATTTTGCATATAACCTATACACATCTTCCTATACACTTTAAATCATCTCCAGTTTACAGCACCGAATACAATGTAAATTCTGTGTTATTTACATATAGTCATACTGTGTTTTTAAAATTAATTTAATTTTATTTATTTATTATCATTATTTTTAATTTGCTATAGGGGACATGGGCTCACCAGAGAAAGAGAGAAAGTTTGAGAGCAAGTGGCAGGACTCAAACTGCAGAAGGCCATGTGGGAGCCCAGCTCCTTACCCACTACTGCCAGCCACAGTACGGCCGGTGGCAACGGAACAAAGCTTCTGACTTTGAGATTCCGGAGGGAGTACGCCTGCGACCCTAGCGACATTCATGTTCTGTGACTGACTGCTGGAGAAAGGAGGCACGCGGGGGACTCTCCCGAGGGCGTCTGTAGCAGCGTGCGAACCCCTTTCAATACCCCACCCAACTGTTCTAGAACACGCTGTGGAGACTGGGCCTCCCTCACAGCCTGTCCTGCAGGTTCTGAATCAACACCAAGTCAGAGACCCAGAGGGGGCCGGACTGCTGGATTCATTAACGCCGTGCTCGCATCCTCACAGAAGAGACTGAGTGTGGGGCATCCACAGGGAGAGCCAGGCTGACCGCAAGATGTGACGGAGGGAATTGGGTGGCTTCTGTTTGGGTCTGGCTCAGAGACACAGCTCACTTTAACAACCGCGCAACTCCTCAATGTGCGGTCTGGGTTCCCGAACTTAGACCTCCACGTTCCTACACCTTTACACCTTTACCCCTCTGCTTTTTTTTTTTTTTTGAAGAGGTTTTTGCTATAGGGCGCATGTGCCCGCCAGACACACAGAGAGAGACAAACAGAAAGGGAGTCATCACCCCCCAGGGGGGATGGCCACGCCACAATCCCTTCTCCTCCATTCTCCTCTCGGGATCTTAGGCACGCACACACACGTGCCTGGCGTGAGTTTTAAGCCACCGGGTCCAGGACGCGAACCACGGTTGACTACATGGGAGTCCAGCGACATAGCCATTATGCTAACTGCTGGTTCCTATCCCTCTGCTTTGAGTGTGGTTGAGTGTGGGTATACGCGTGTATCATGAGATGCCATAAGCCGAGCAGAAGCAGAGACACGCCTGCTGCCCCCCGCCGCCCCTTACGTCCGTGACAATGGGCACGCCGAGGTGAGCCATGTTGGTGATGATCTCGCTGTCCTCCGGGGGGATCTGGGCGTGCTGGATCAGCTTGTTCAGGTTTTCCTCAGTGATGCCTGAGAGACGAGACACGCGATCACCACAGCGTACAGCCACGCACCCCCACACAGAGGCAGGGCCAACCCGGTGGGCTGGATGTCCCCCTCCTCAGGGTTAGCGGGAATTAACTGCCCACTGCATCAACTTCACTAGACGGCGAGAGCAAACGAAAGATTGCTTTCGCTCCAGTCACCGTGTCCTGCGTGGTCACTGTCAGCCCCGTCTCAGTCTACATTTCCTGTCCCTGCTTCTCAGCAATCCCTGCTCACCTCCGCCCACTCTGGAGTCCAATCGAGCAAGAGTCTCATTACTCGTCTTTTGCACGATGGACACTTCTGGGTGCCGACGAGGTGGGAAAAGCCCGCTCTGTAAAGGCCGAGGCTCTGAGTGTGATACGAGTTAATATCTGTGGGCACAGCTGCAGTAAACTGGCCAGGCAGCTCTCCGTCTCTCCCAGCCTGTCCTCTTCCATATGTTCCTCACCACTTCTGAGCTCTGGAAGTCCCAGGGAATTGCAGCCTCTGGTCACAACTGCTCTGACTACGTGCCCTTCCTAGAACACGAAGAGCCCCCAGGGTCTCCTTGCCCGCCCCACTCCACGCCTGTAAGACTGTTCTGCTTTGCCTTCTCGCTCTGCTGCCTCATTTTCCCCAAGAACGGCCCATACCCTCCTACCATTTTCGTAAATCCCTATCCGTTCCTACCATTCTTCAGGAAAATGTAGAGCAGGATGATGCGGATTTTGTCATACGTGCTGACGTTCGCGTCCAGCAGAATGGGGACGATGGCTCGCATGGGGTCCTTGATCTTCTCCCCCTCGGCATCCGTGCCCATCGCCAGGTCCTACAGACAACACACCCTGTTGGCCCCATTTCTGGAGATAGTCTGGAGGATGGCAGCTCTTCGAAAATCCGTGACCCCTAACGTCTGCGGTGAGCACTGGGTTGGGGAAGGCCTCAAACGGGTAATCCTCCTCTCACGAGGCATGGCGATCCCTGAGTGCAGTCAACACGCCCCTACGGCACTGCTGAGAATGCACGGAAACCGGAGCTCGACTTGCCAAGGCAGAAACCTCAGTCATTTGCTGTCTTAATTGACAGCCGGTTTGCTGCAGGCGAGTGCCAGGGTACCCATGCCAATTCCACAGGTAAGGACTCAATCTTGGTCGGTCTCCTAGAGTTACCAGGCCCTCCTGGGTGGCCTGAAAGGCTCAGAGGAATGCACTTCTCTCCCATGAAAAGCTCTGGTATTTGAAAGTGTCTCTGTGTGGCCAATGTTTTCCACTCTGCTTCCCCTGGTATTAAAGGACATGCTTTCAGAGTTTTACCTGCTCCGGGGTTTTAACCTCTGTTTTAAACCTTTCTATAATTTTTCAAGGGTGAGGAGAGGAAAGAAAAAGGGGCTTTGAAACCTGCAAACCCAGGCCCTGGGAGATGAGGAAGGAGAGAAGGGCTGGGAAATGAACTGGAGATGAAAGACCCAGACGAGACTCAGACCCACTCTCAACAGACCAGAGCAAACGCGTTAGCCTCGGCAGGCCATGACCACGCGGCCTCGCTCTCAGAGACCGCAGCCACAGTTTCCTCTTAGCTCTAGGGGACGCCTGATTTCTCTCGCGATCCCAGGAGTCCATGCAAATTTTGATCGAGTTCACGGTCTCCTTCCAGAGTCTAAGGAGGGTGGGCTGCTTCTCTTTGGCCCTTTGGCCTCTTGGTCCTACACCAGCCCAGACGTCTGTGCAGCAGGACCTGAAGTCCGGCTAAATTTAAATTTCACTAGTTTAACAATACTTCTGGGCAATCTTAAAATTTTTTAATTTCCAAAAATCAATTCCAAACTGCACACTCACTGATAACCTATTTTCTGCATGATCAAGTTGTTCTGAAAAATGCACCTTGTGTTTGTAAGATCGCCTGAAACCAATGGCTCTTCGCAGGGCCAGTCCTCTCATGAAATACTCAGTGGTGTAGGACAGGGCTTACAAAGCAAGCTGAGCCTGTCACAACAAACCAGAAGATGAAATCTTTGCTTCACACCAAGAACCTGAATTTTTTTTTCCTGTGAAAAGGGACTTTCAGCTAAAATTTCAGAGTCTTTAACATGCTCTCTTCCCTTAGAAGTTGACCCACAGTTCAGTCACGTGATCACGTTTGAAGCATGAGCCAGGATTTACCAGTGACTCCTCACAACGGCCCTGACAAATGTGAGCACTGCGCTCTCCCTTTTACAGGTGAGGAAAATAACGCATAGACAAATTGACACGCCAGATAATCTGGGTGGGAGACAGAGCTCGAACCCCAGACTCCTCCTGTACCCCCGGTGTGATCGGTGAGGCTGTGAGACGTCGGCCTGTCACTGCACTCCCTGCTGTCAGCCTCTAGGTCTCCAATGCGGGTCTGGCCGCAGCAGCAGGAAAACACACTCGGAACAGAAAATCCAGCCTGCCCTGACAGTGCAGGGCTCAGAACCCCGAACAGCTTTCCCCAGCCATTCCAGGGAAAACAGAGCCCTTGGAAAGAGCAAAGCATGCAAAATCCAAATGCCACAGCATTCCAGACCAGTCCAGTCCCTACCATGGAGAGTGGAACCACACTGGCTCCGAGAGTCGAGACAATGCGATCTAGCAGGCCTCCCGTCTATTTCCTAGGGTTCTGCAGGATGTTCAAGGTCAGACGTTAAGACTCGGCTGGGTACATGGGACGGCAGAAGACTTGCCGCGGCACAGAGGAGGAAAAGGCCCTACCTGCTCCACCCGGCAGAGCTTGTCGACGGTGCCCTGGTAATGCTTCATGCAGTCCTCAGCAAGGTGCAGGTGGGTGGAGTACTAGGAAGGAACACAGAGAGCCTGTGGTCACAGAACAAGTCACATCCGTGTGGCGGCCACTGAGCACCTACCACATACAAAATGCTGCAGAAGGCACTGGGTCTCCACCCTCGTGAAGGAGATGAGACATGCACAAACAGCACACAGTAGGATGTGCTCCACGACAGGAGGGAGGCAAAGTACATGCTAAGAGTCAAGAGGAAGGAAAGTCCTTCAGGAAGGTGGGGTGGTATGATGGTTTTGCAATGCCTCCACGAATTCTTTGATGCACCTCCTCCCGGGGGGAGCTTAATTCCTCTCCTTGAGCGTGGGCTGGATTTAGCAACTGGTTCTAACAGAGTGGAGGAAGGGCTGGAGAGGGACATCCAAGATCAGGAAATAAAAGGCACCGTTACTTCTCAGGTCAAGGGGAAGCCAACGGCTGTGCCGTGAGGACTAGGCAGCCCTGTGGAGAGGCCCAGGTGTGAGGAACTGAGCCTCTCACAATAGCAGGGGACGGACAGGGTACAGAAAACAAAGAGGTGCAGAGAAAGTGGCAGGAAACAAGCTGCCTGAACCAACCTTTCATTTCTTTTCAAATTAAAAACCGAAGGTGACTAAAAATCTGTAGATTTTAATGAGTCAATTAAAGCACAGGGTTTGGAGAAGGCTCTTTCTCAGCTGTTCACACTCAACTCACAAGGACCTCTCGGCCTTACCATACCTTGCTCAGCTCTTTCTGGTACTGGGGCATCTTCTTCAGCATCTGTGACAGGTCCCTCATGGTGGTCTGTATGGGAAACGAAAGCGGATGATGTCACCTGACCTTCATAAGGAAGGTTTGCTAGGCTGGTGAGTGCAGGGCAGGACAGCAACTGCCACTAGACTCCCCAGGTGCATGCTCCACAACGCTTGAAATGAACCTTTAAACACAAGAGCACATGCTGAGATTTCTAGGCCTCTGGCTCAAACATGATTGATCCAAATACCATGATTACCTTCTAGGCAGAGAACTGAACAAGGAAGTCTAGCAGCTGCGCTTACTCCTATGTTTATTGGACTAGAAAGTTACTGTGAGCCTTAATTCTTCCCACACACAAAAAGATTTTTCTTCTATAATTGCTTTTCTATATACTCAGTTCAACCGTCCTGGACTTGAGTTTGCAATGTATTCCAGCAGAAAGGCTGTGATATATAGATAAAAAAAAAAAAAAAAAAAAAAAAAAAAAAAAAAAAAAAAAAAAAAAAAAAAAAAAAAAAAAAAAAAAAAAAAAAAAAAAAAAAAAAAAAAAAAAAAAAAAAAAAAAAAAAAAAAAAAAAAAAAAAAAAAAAAAAAAAAAAAAAAAAAAAAAAAAAAAAAAAAAAAAAAAAAAAAAAAAAAAAAAAAAAAAAAAAAAAAAAAAAAGCAGTGATACTGTTAGAGAAGACTGGAATCTACATCCAACCAGCGAGACTGGTCTGTTTACTTCCGACTGTGTGGCCCGCCTAATCCCACTAATCTATCCAACAAAAATGTATTTATTTACTCCTACACACCAGGCACTAGTAGGCTGGCAAAACAGGGACAAAAGAACAAAAGGCCGCCTCGCCCAGGGAGAGGGCCGGGAAGGTCACTTGAGGAGACAATGAAGCTGCAGAGCAGCAAGGCCCAGAGCGAGAGAACTCTGGCGTGGCTGGTAGGAGGCAGAGCAAGCAGGAGGGAAGCAGAAAGGAGGCCAGAGAGAACCCGTGGGCCTGACCACTGGGCCTCTGGAAGCCATGCCCATGGTGGGGTGGGCAGAGGTGGCTCCATTCTAAGGGGAACCAGAAGTGGCTAGATGGTTTTAAGTGAAGGAGTAACACAACCAGAGCTGCCTTTTGGGAAATCCATGTCCTGACTAAGATGGGCAGGCCACCTCCAACAAGGTAAGGAGAGCCCAGGTAAGTCAGGTTATGAATTTTAAATCTCTTCTCTTTTCTTCTTTAAAAAAAAAAACAATTGTCAGAGGTCACATATGCTGTCAGAAGAGAGACAGAGAATATGGAGAGGGAGAGAGCGACTTCAACAGGTGTGATCACACTGCCACCCCTTCTCCTCCATGTCTCCATCCTGTTGGGATTTGGGGCACACATACGTGCCTGCTCTGTTTCTCACATGTGTGTGCTCCAAATCTCAACAGGGGCTTGGATGTGAACCATGGGGTCCAGCTCCTTTAACCCATGGGGTGTAAGAGCTGGCCCTGAATGCTACCATTTTTCTGGTTTAAAATGTATCATGATACCAAACAGTAAATATTAATCCTCAGAGTAACAGAAAGCAGCTCTCTATAAATGTCAAAAGATGGGAGCTCCAGATCTGAATCTTTTTTGTTTTGTTTTGTTTTGAGAGGGACTTTTTAATTTAATTTAATTTTTTTTGCTATAGGGCGCATGTGCTCGCCAGAAAGACAGAGAGAGACATAAAGACAGAAAGCAAGAAATCACCCCCCAGGGGGGATGGCCACACCACAATCCCTTCTCTTCCATTCTCCTCTCAGGATCATGGGCACACATGCACACGCGCCTGGTGTGAGTTTAAGCCACCGGGTCTGGGACTCGAACTACGGTCGGCTACATGAGAGTCTAGCAACATAGCCATTATGCTAACTGCTGGTCCCCCAGATCTGAATCTTGGATGTAAAAATAAGACAAAATGATATTAAGTGAGGAGAGAAATATAAATACAACGTCCTTAATTCACTAGTCATATTGCAAAGGCACCTTCTCTGCTCCGAGGGAGGAAGCAGGGATTAAATTCTAGAGCATTAGAACACGTGAGTGTACCTTCTCTCCAGTATTCATTCTCTTGCTAGAAGAAAAGTCTTTCAGAGACCGGGTAACTTCCCTGGAAGAGAGAGGAGGCAGGTAAGTTTCAGAGCAACACCAGGTGCCTCTACAGACGCTACAGAAGTCATGCAGTCTTCCTTTAGGAACACGTAGAGACTTCTCCTGCCTATAAGGTATGCATCTGATGTGATTTTCTAGGAGAAAAGAAACCAGTCATTTTTCTTTTCTTTTTTTAAGGTTTTTGCCATAGAGCATGTGTGCTTGCCAGAGACAGTGAGGGGGAAAGTGAGAAATAACCCCACAGGTGGGATGGCCACGCTGTAGTCCCTTCTCCTTCTGGGATTTTGGGCAGACATACACACACATGCTCCCACCATTATTTTTGAGCCACTAGGTCTGGGACTTGAACCGAGGTTAGCCATGTGGGAGTACATGCCTTAACCACCATGCCACCTGCTAGTCCCAAGACATGTCCGTTTTCAAATTAATACTCTAAACAAGTAGTATCCAGAATAGGTATAACAGATGATTCAAGGGGAAGAAAGAAGAAAATATTAGGATATCTTTTTATGCTTATTTATCTTATTAGGAGAACTTTTTAAAAATATTTATTTATTTATTTTATTCCATTTCTTGTTCTTATTTTATTTTATTATTATTTTTTTAATTTTTGACCAAAGAGAGGCAGAGAGAGAAAAAGGGAAAGCGAGAAAGCAAGCCTCCAGGTCCAGGACTCAAACTGCAGTCGACCATGTGGGAATCCAGCGCTCCTAACCACCTCGCCACCTGCTGGCCCAAGACATCTACTTTTTTTTTTTTTTTTTTTTTTTTTAGGGTTTTTTATTAAAGGGCGCGTTCGCTCCCCAGAAAAAAAAAATAGAGACAGAAAGCGAGAAATCACCCCCCAGAGGGGATGGTCACGCCACAATCCCTTCTCCTCCATTCTCCTCTCGGGATCTTGGGCACGCATGCACACGCGCCCGGCGTGAGTTTTAAGCCACCGGGTCCGGGACCGAACCACAGTCGACTACGTGGGAGTCCAGCGACACAGCCATTACGCTAACAGCTGGTTCCCAAGACATCTACTTTTTTAAAAAGAATAATTTTATTTAACTTTATTTATTTATTTACTTTTTTCTTTTTATTTGACCAGAGAGAGACAAAGTGAGAGAGAGAAAGAGAGCGAGTACACACAAGAGAGAGAGAACGTGAGAAAGTCAGCTGCCAGGTCCAGGACTCGAATCGTGGTTGGCCATGTGGGAATCCGGCACCCTTAACCACCATGCCACCTGCTGGCCCCACGGACATCTATTTATGTTTATCTTTCCTCACACCTTTCAGATTTGTGTTTGAATATCCATAAAGAAACATGCACAATTTATGTTCATAAAATATATAAAATCAGATATATATGGTACATATCAGTATAAGAAAGTACATATTTAATTCACAAATAAATTTAATTACTGGAAATATGGGTCAGTTTATTAAAAGTATACTTTTTTTCTTAGGTTTTTGCCATTTGGCATGTATTCTCACAGGAGAGAAAGAGGGAAGGTGAGAAATCACCCCCCAGGGGTATGGACACAATCTTTCTCCTCCACTCTCCTCTCAGGATCTTGGGCATGTATGCACACACACTCGGTGTGATTTTATTTTTTTTTTTGGAGAGATTTTTGATATAGGGCACATGCGCTTGCCAGAGAGACAGAAGAGAGAAATCACCCCGTGGGGGGAGGCCACCCCGCAATCCCTTCTCCTCCATTCTCCTCTCGGGATCTTGGGCACACATGCACATGCGCCTGGCGTGAATTTAAGCCACCAGGTCCAGGACTTGAACTGCGGTTGACTACATGGGAGTCCAGCGACATAGCCATTAAGCCAATTGCTGGTCCTCCACATGATTTTCAAGCCACCAGGTCCAGGCTTGAACTGCAGTTGGCCATGTGAGAGTCCAGCACATAATCACCTGCTGGCCCCCAGATAATTTCTACTTGACGTAGCGACCACGTCTCTAAATCACAGAACTATCCAAGGCTATATTACTTTTTCACTTGTTCTTGTGAATTTTCTGAGGATATTACAAACTTGAGGTAGCACAATGTGTGTGTGTGTGTGTGTGTGTGTGTGTTTTAAAGCAGAATTGATATTTACAGTTTACAGGCCTTATAACAATGTTTAAATATTAGGACAGTTTTCGGAGCCAAGGGCAGGTCAGTATGTAGACAGCAGCTCTGCTGAGAAGCTGCAGGTGAAGGGGAGACTGCATGCCAGCCCTGTGAACGAAGGGTGCGCCGTCAGAGTGGCGTCCGATCTCCACTGGGATGAGCTGGTTTTAAACATTTGATGTTTATAAAGCACTGTGCTGAGAGAGCTACAAAAGCCCTCCCAGAATCCCACAGGCCGCCTTCACAGAGACCCACGAGGCCCAGAGAACAGGAGGCGTTCCCATTACCGGGTGGCAGGTGGCCACCTCTGCGCTGGCAGCCCGATCACCCGCGGGAGCTGGAGTGCACCGTCACCGGCAGCAGTGGGGAAGAGGGAGGAGCAGCCGGGACGGCGGCGGACGGGGCGCTTACTGGGACACCTCCGCGATGTGCTTGTGGCGCAGCGCGATCCACAGGTCGTCATCCTCGTCCAGGAGCACTTCCTTTACCCGCGCCTCGCCGATGCCACTCGTCTCGTACCTGGAGAAGGGGCGGGCTCAGGCGGAGCACTCTGCTCCCACAGCGCTCGTCGGCACCCCGGGTTATAACAAGAGCCCACAGTCCTCGCTGCCAGGTGCGCGCACACCTGATGTGCCAGCCAGGCCTGCTGCAGCAGCGCCCCCATGGTGCAGTGCCCCGGGCAGAGGGAGACCCGAAGTTCTAACCAGCCAGCCAGCTTTGTTTCAAAGTCATCAGGCTTGGCTGGTACATGCTCACCCGAGCCACCTGGTATAGGGCACCGGGTCAGGTCACACGTGGGTTTGGAGTTACTTATGGGGGAGATACACAGATCTTAACTGAGCCTCTCTGGGGAGGAACTGGGCCACCATCCGAATGTGTGGCACCTAAGTGGCACCAGCAGCTGCCTGAGACAGGCCCTTGGCATACGGTGATGCCGTCACCAGGAACAGCTGGAGGACGCACGGACTACAGTACCAAAGAGAAGAGGGGGCTCACTCCTATTTTTTTTTCTTTTTCTTTTTTAGGTTTTTGCCATAGGGCATGTGCACTTGCTGGAGGGAGAGAGAGGGAGAGTGAGAAATCACCCCCCGGGGGGATGGTCACACTGCAAACCCTTCTCCTCTGCTCTCTCAAGATTTTTTGCACACTTGCGCCCTGAGTGATTTTCAAGCCACCAGGTCTGGGACTTGAACTATGGTCGGCCTTGTGTGAGTCCAGCACCTTAACCACTATACCACCTGCTGGCCCTTACACTAGTCTTCTAAGTTAGAGGCACCTGAGGTTCCATGCAAAGCCACAGTGGCTCTGGGTCTGTCCTGCCACACTCACTTATACACATCATTTTCAATAGGCAGCAGGTCATAGCTCATTGCCTGGAAGGTCAGTTCATGAAGCACAGGGGAGCTGGGGTCAAAGCCACGATCCAGGATCAGGAGCTGGGAGCGCGCCTTGTCTGGGCCCTGGAAGGGAAGAGGGAGATGCTTCATGAGCCACGCAGACAACTCCAGCTCCTCCAACCAGCAGAGCCTGTCTCATGGCGGGCACAGCCGGAAGCCAATGGGGAGGTTCACTAAGATAGCACCAACAGTCCCCGTGCTGCAAGGCGAGAACGCCAGTGAACACGGGCAGACTCCACTGCTTTCATCTCACGGTGAGTGTCCTTCCAAAAGACCTGAAGCTGTGGCTACGGGCTGCGATGAGTTCAGCGGGGGTGCTGCCTGGGTTCAACACAACTGGGGAGACTGGCCAGCCAGCGTGCCTGAGACTGAGGGGTTCTCTTTAAGCCACAGTGGTGAGGGGAAGGCAGTGCCGACTGCCGGAGCCTCTACCCGTGGAAACAGCACCTGGGACTGCACACGCACGGGACATGTAGAAATGAGGTCGGAGACTACCAAGGTGGTGTTAAACTACTGGGGCTTCCCCAGGACACAGGGTGCTCAGCGCTGGCACCAGGAACAAGTTGGTCACCCTGGCTACTGGCCACCTCTGGAAGAATGGTCCTCACCCAGGCTCTGTGACCAAGAGCTGTCCCAGGGACCGTCACACACACACTGTGGCCAGCGTCCAGACTCACCTCCCCCATCGTTGGGTCATCAGCTTTATAGGCGTCGAGCTTGTCCTGGATTAGCTGAGCCAGCAAGGCATTGTCCTTGTACTCCCTGACAAAGGAGGAGCGACAAGGTGAACCACCGTGTCCCCAGATGCAGATGCCGACTGCCAGGGAAGGAGCAGGACAGGGCAGGGAGGGTCAGGGAGAGGTGCGTGCTGACAGCCCTGGCTCTTTATAGTGAGAAGGTATTCGTGTGTTACATGTGTAATTAAAACAGAGACGTAAAATACTTACTAGTTCAGTGCCTAGAACATAAATGATTTCCTTGTTTCTTTTCTTTACCTAAAGGGAAAGTCTTCCCAAGCAGCTTCATGGAAACAGCCACAGTCCACAGTGGGCCCTGACCATGGCTCCTTCTCCCGGCCCAGGCTGTCTGAGCCTGCCCACCTGACTCTCGCTGTCCTTCGTCCGTGTTCCCTTGGGCCCCGTCTGGTTTGGCTGGCGGGTGTCGTTGGTCGGCACAGCCAGAGTGATGTAAGAACCTCTGAACCCTTTCCCTTGACTGAGTCTGAGGGCACTTCCTGGGTGCTCTGGCTTCCTGGGGTGTCGCTGCTGCCACCACCTCACCAGCCTCCCCACGGCAACAGCCTGGGCTCCCACTGTTGTGGGAACTGCAGCCTCACCCCATTTCTTAACTACCCCCAGGCTTTTGCTAGTGAGTACCAATGATGGAGAGAAGCTAGGCGCTGGGGCAGCAACCAGGGAGGGTCTGCCTGTGGCCACAGGTTCCCGCAGACATCGACGTGACGAGGACAGGGGCAGTGCACAATCCTGGGCCCCAGCGCACCCAGGTGCCTGGCTCACGGCCTCCTTCCTGCCCCGCCCACACTCTGCCAGCAGTCTCTGGCTGTATGGAGTCTGCCTCTGCATGTCCGGATTCTGTCCAAGTCCAGGCCCTCGGCCTCTCCACAGAGAAGCCTCCAGAGGACTGGCTTCTCCTTGCCCTCACCCCTGCTCACTCTCCCCCTTCCTGCTCACAGAGCACTGCAGTCACCCCCCCCACCCGTCCAGACCCCCCGGTGGCTTCCCAGTGCTAACTGCTGAAGGACATAACCCTGAACCTGGCATGCAAGGCCGCCGGGGGCAGCCCCCTCCACCCTGCTGCCCTCACTACTGGTCCTCCTTGAACTTGCCCGTTTTCCCAGCTCTGGGCTTTGGCTTAGACAGGCAGTGTCAACTCTGCAAAGGCCGCCCTTGCCTCCCTCACTCTGGCTACTGCAATCTGAACCTGTCTTTCAAGGCCCAGATAAGTACCACCTCTGGTCTGAAGTTCTTCAACCTCGGCTGCAAAGGCCCTCTCCCTTCTTTAAATGTCCTAAGCACGTGGTCTGTGCCATCTGAAGGCACTCACGTCACGTGGTCTGTGTTGTATGTGTGCGTATCTCCCCCCGCCCGGGTCAGAGGCTCACAAAGGCAGGGGATGCATCTTCAGCTTTAAGTCTCTCCACCACCCAGCACAGAGCAGGGACGTGATGAGCGAAGGACTTCATAAAATGCAAAGAATAAGTCCTTTGGAGAAGTACTCTCTTTGTATTTTATCATATTCTGAGATACTACCTCTTATCAAAGATGAAATCTGCTTTTAGAGGTGAGAAATAGATGAATAATTGGAGGAAACTTGGGCTAAAGTGATATAGGGGTTCACATTTTAGTTATTCAAGAACTAAAGGTATATATTATATACTATATTCGTATTATATACTGTTAATATTATAGTTTAATATATTGCTTGTACCGATATTTGCTAGTTAACATATTATGCATAAATGTGTAAAACATACAAATAGACATTCTATATTAACATTAATATATAGCATATACAATATATTTTATGTTCTTTTTTGTATCTAGTAGGACATTTCACAATAATATTTAAAAGATAACAAAACTAATGGAAGAGTCATTTTAATGAGAGACTCTCAGACCTGGACCCTCTTGAACCGCCTGCTGGGGGAACACGAAGGACAGGGAAGAGTCGGGCGGACTCACCCCCGGTACCGCACGGCGGGGTACTCCTTCAGGGTGGCGCACAGAGTCGCGATCTGCTCCGCCAGGCGCTCCAGGATGGGATTCTTCATCTGTGCCTTGTGGGGGCTGTAGAAGCTTTGGAAAGAATCCGCAGAGTCCAAGGAATACACCTGCGGGGAGCAGAACACTGACGGCGTTGGCGCCGCGATCGACCCGGTGGGTCCGTGCCCCAGCTTCCCGTCTACCGTCTAAATCCGTGCTGGTGCCTTCCATGTGCCTGGGGACCACCAGTGACCCAAACAGCCCTGTCCTCAAGGAGGCCGATGACAGAGGTGAGAGACCGGTGCTGAGAAAGGGTAGGCAGGAGAAAGCGCCAGAGCGGGCCATGAGCGCCCCGAGAACTGGACTGGGAGACGGGGCTTGCGGAGAAGGTGACCTCTGAGCAGGGCTGCGACAGAGGTGAGGCGCGTATCATTTACCACCAGAAGGGGACGTCCAAGTGGCAGGTACAGGTAGCATCAGGGCCCTCAGGGGGCCGTGTGCCTACAGTGTCCGAGGAACGTGAAGAGGCCAGGAGGGGTGCAGCCAAGGCGGCCAGCATCCCTCCAAGCCCTGTGGGTTAGTTTCAATAGGTGAGGGACAAGCTAGAAATCCTGCCGTCACTGTGGCAAATACGGAGCAATTTATAGATTTAATAACACCCTAACCTCATGCAGTAGTATGGCCTAAGGATTTTTTTTCCTCTGGGAGAGTCTGGAAGTTTAAAATTCCCCCTTAAACTACTGAGTCTACTAGCTGTCGGTACTATCGCAAATTCTCACTTACGCAAACTGCCTCGATCTTCTAGTGAACCTGATTTCTTTTTTTTTTTTTTACAGTTTACCACTTTCTTAAAATTTCTGAAACATAATATGGTTAAATATGCTAGAGCTAGAGTCTATCCAACGCAAGTGGTAAAGGGACTCAGAAATAGAAAACCCTGCCTTCAAGTAGGACACATCCTTTATGCCAGGGAAGGAGAGGAACAGTCTTTAAATGCTCCCTGTAAATCTTTTCCACTCCTCCTAATGGAAGAACAAGTGTCTAGAAGCCGATCTATAAAGACCCAGTGTTTCACAATCATCTTTTATCTCCACAAAATACATGAAAGTCTTGTTTGTGTGCTGTTGTTGTCCACTGGAATACATTTAACGCGTCTTAAATACTAAGATAAATTTTGCACAGTCTCTCACGGACTGCTTCACTGGGACTGGTTTAACAATTTTGGTTTTTGCCCAAGGGGAGCTGTTTGCTGTCATGGCCTTTGGCACCTAAAGTGTTAAAGGCTAATGACGAAGGCCACCATCTGTTCTCACAGCACATGAGAGCTGAGGTTATCTCCACATAAAACAGTCTCCACAGCAGGGCAGCAGATGGGATGCTCGGATTCCCTCCCCTCCTCTCCTTCCACGCTCTGTGGAATGGCTACTGTTTGGTTATTCAAGCAATCAGCTGACAGGAGTGAGTACCCTGAGCCCCGAGCGAGATGAACTCACACAAAGAAAGGCACAGTGGCTGACCAAAGACAAATAGCTGGGGAGCACGGGGAGGGCACTGGCAGGTCCCTAGGGCACACCGTTCCCATTAAATAAAGATCCACAGAACGGGTCACTCAGCAGTTCTCACTCTCGCGATCACCGCCCACCGTCTCGGGGTTCCTGACAGAATGTCTGAGAACAGACCTTCCCAGCATGTGCCGCTCAGCCTCACCTGGGATTCGTATGGGAGGAACGCAATGTTGATTTCCGTCAGTGTCTTAATGACTTTGGCTGCTCGGGACTTCACCAGCTCATTAAACAGGGCATCTGGGCAAGCTGCAAGAATGACGAGAGATAGGTGACGTTTCTGTCCATTCAGTAAGCTGTACAGGTCCAAGGGATTCTTGGTCTTACTAGAATTTTTAAAAACGTAACTAGATGGTTCATCCCAACCTAAAAACCGAATACCTCTAGGGTGTAAGAGGAATGTAAAACCACCTGCAAAGGCCTCAGCATGGACAGAGAAACAAATGGCAACAAAGGTGGAGCTACTGGGCTCAACTAAAATCTGTTTTCCAATACCAAGAAAAGGAAGAAAAAGAAGAGATTGATAAAGGATGAGGAATAGGCCTTGAATATAGAACTCCATACACCAAACAGGTCAGCAATAAAGAAAAGCCCTGGGAAATGTAATTTCCCCTCGCTCTCAAAGCTGCCCAGGGGCACAGGGGCCACATGGGGGGACCATGATTTCTAGTGACTCCAAGCAAACGGCTTCAGGTCACAGGACTGCGCTGGTTCATTATGACTACTGCTGCCCACCTGCTCCGTGACTCATTAAATACTACAAACTGGTCCTCTGCTATGCCCTTTCCATTTTCTCAGTGGTGAGCTTTTTTGAGGGGTCTCCTCAGAGACAACACTGGATGAATTCTTATTGTTTTGTACTCCGTGGCTAGCCAGGTCTACCTGTCCCTCTGCTTCTCCATTAGGATTCATGCCCATCTCCCACGAAGGGCTGCCCCATAGCATAGCAGTTAAACTCCATGCCTAGGGAGCCGGATCTCATATGGCTGATCACAGTTTGAATCCCAGCCCTAGCAGCTTGCAAGACATACCAAGTGCGTGTGCATGCATGCCCCAAATCATGACCGGACGAGAGAATGGAGGAGAAAGGGTCGGGGTGTGACTGCGCCCCACCGGGTGGGGATGCTTTCTCTCTTTCTTTGATGAACATATGCACTCTCTACCAATAAAAAAAAAAATGTTGCCTCTTAAAAAAAATAGAAAAGAACTCCGACGAAATAAGAAAATGAATTCCAGGGCCACGATGCAGGTTCTATCTAAAACAAAGGGCACTCTGGAATTGGAATGTCTTCATAGTAGAAAACCCATGGAAATACACTAGAGTTGACCATGGCAGCTGGATGTCTGTGTGGAGAAACACCAAGGCTCGCCTCAGGAAGACTCTCCCCAGCCCTAAGCCCGCCAAGTCTTTAGGAGAGGTGCTTGCTGTGCTATTTTTCATCAGGAAGGACTGCATGATCTAGCAGGTTTGTATTTCTGTGAGTTTATTTTTGTCTCTTATGTAATTTATCTCCTGAAAAGAAAATAAAAGATCAGGACAAGCGTGGCAGCAGCCAGCCCACTTCCCGTGGACCTGCCGCGGTCGTGACTCAGCCGAGCTGTGCGGCTATGGTACCCGGGCTGGCATGGGCGGAGCTCCCGGCTCTACTTACAGTCAGTGAAGAAGACGTGTGCAGCCCGGTACTTAGCAGTCGGGGGGTCCTTAAAGTCACTGATGAGAGAGTGGACGGACTAGACAGAGAGAAGAGGAAACACGATCCAATCTGAGAAGCAGACGACCTATATCCCGACAGAGTTAACCCAAGTGGGCTTCCAGCTACTCCCACACAATAGCAGGGGATTCTGCTGTATAATTCTAACACTCATACTCGGCCATAACTGAGTCCTGAGGCCTTCCAATTAGCATCATTTCAGAGTGTAGATGAACAAAGTCCTTCTACATGGGTTCCTAAGAAGACCCACAACAAAAGAAAACTGGTCAGAAACCGTCCAAGAGAGGCTGGTAGGTGGGATGATGGTTAAGAGCACTGACTCCCACATGGCTGACCGTGGTTCGAGTCCCAGACCTGGAGGCTTACTTTCTCACTTTCCTTCTCTCACTCTGTGCCTCTCTGGTCAAATTAAAAATAAATAAATAAATAATTAAAGTTAAATTAAAAAAAGATCTTTAAAAGAAAAAAAAAGAAAAGAAAAAGAAACCTTCCAGGAGAGTTACAGTGACGAAGGCAGGTAATTTAGTAGCACCTGCAGAAACTTGTCTGTGAATCGTTTTTCAAAAGGAAGAAGAAAGTGTGACAACTGGGGGAAATTTATATTGATTAAGGGACCCAGGACAACTTTTACCCAAAGGAAGGAGGTAGATGTTGTTTAAAGGCTGATTTCTTTTTTCTTTTCTTTTCTTTCTTTCTTTTTTTTTTTTTGTAGAGAGGTTTTTGCTATTAGATATGTGCATTCGTCAGAGAGACAGAAAGTGAGAAATGACCCCCCCCCCCAGAGGGGATGGCCATGCCGCAATCCCTTCTCCTTCGTTGTCCTCTCAGGATTTTCGGCACATATGCACATGCACCCAGCATGAGTTTTAAGCCGCCGGGGCCAGGACTCGAACCACACGGTTGACTACATGGAAGTCCAGTGACATAACCATTACACCATCTGCTGATCCCTGTTTAAAGGCTGATTTGAACCAGCCTCCCCTGCAGCATAAAGTGTGGAGGTGGACTGCTAATTGCAGTGGCTCTCCGACCTGCACAGGGAGTGCACAGGGGAAACTAGACAGCCCAGAGCCCGGAAGGCCAGCTCTACCTTGCAGCTGTTGTGGTTGGAAGGCTTAATACAACCCTCACTTCTCACTGCAGTCACCCCCACCTCACTGCTAGGCTGTGTGCTTAAACAGAGCAGTGTGTTAAATGCATGCTTAACCTAGAAATGTCAGGCACCCGTGCCACACAGATCCCACGCCAGTGCGCCCAGCCTTAGCCGAAGCTCGGCCCCGGCAGAGTTTACCTTCTCAGACGGAGTAATGAGATACACGGCCTCCAGGCTGGGGAGAGGCTCCCGGCGCTTGTTGATATCTTCCACAACTAGACAACAAAACAGCCATGGGAGTTAGAAGACACGGTAAGTGGTTATAAAGCTAGACGCGAGGTAGACAGGCCACCTTCAGCTGGCCGACCAGGTCCACAGTGGGGCTGGGGAGAATCACTCACCCCTTCCTTGCAGTTACCGCCTGCCTTAGAGTGAACTCCACTGCCTCGCTGTGTTCAAGGTGCTAGAAACCTGCAGCCGCGTTGTGCCAAATACTCCCCACATCCCATTCTAGTTCAAGTGAATTCTTGGATCTGTTCTGCGCGGAAACCACAAATACTCCCCCATGCAGTCAAGAATGGTTCCTGTGCCTCTCTCTTCCTTCAGCCTTTTCTCATCTTTCCGAAACAATTCCGGCCCCTTCGGCATGTCCACATTGGGTTTATTTATCAACAGCTGGGTTGTTTCATCATTTCCTCTGCATAGTGAGTGAAGACATTCCAAACACATCCCCTCTATAAGCTGCTCCTCTCATGTATTCCAGGATTAAACATGGTATTTTGTTAAACAAACAAACAAAAACTACAGGCTTTTGGTTTGCTGGTTTCCTTCAAAGTTATTTCAGCCATTTCACCCAGACAGAACAGCTTTGGGGAGAAGCATCTTCCCAGTCACCCAATAAAGCTCAGGATGCACGACCTGGCTGCTCTGCCCTCTGCCCCGCCTGGGCGCACTCGTCCTGTGCAGTTAATGCAGTCAATGCAAGCGTCCCTTTCCAAGTCTCACTTGTAACGTTTATAAAGACTTTCACCCCAAGTAACATTCACATCATACCAAGTAATACCATCTACTTTACCAGTGTCTTTTCATTTCATAGGCCACTAACACTTCCCCCCAAAAGGTTTTTGGGGCTACAACACAGGGTTGCTGACATTTTAATTGTGCTAAGTAAGGACATCTGGAAATCTGAGGAAGGCAACGGATAAGGTCCAACATCAAGGATTCCAGAGATACTAGCATGAGCATGGTCTGGAAGCATCAAGACAACCAGCAGCAGGAGGGATGCCTGTGGGACGCTGGGGGTGTGCAGAGGGAAGCAGGGCAGTGCTGCTGCTCCTTTATTAAAAGCTTATGTGCAGGACCAGCAGGTGGCATGGTGGCTGGTTAAAGTGCTGGACACTCGCACATGGACCACAGTTCAAGTCCCGGACCTGGTGGCTTTCTTTCTCATTCCCTCCCCCCTTCTCTCTCAGTGTATCTCTCTGGTCAAATGAAAAAAAAAAAAAAAAAAAAAAGAGTAAATTAAAAATTAAAAAAAGAATAAAAGCTTATTTGCTCCTTTTGGCTTTTTCCCCCTGAACTCCCCCCCCAGTTTACTGTGTTCATTCTCTGTCTTCCTAATAAGGATGTGTTGCAGGATGGCTTCTGTGATGACGTCCAGGTTCTTGGTGTTTCTGACAGAGAATTAAACAAAACACGCAAATAGTGCAAAGAAAAGGTAGTTTATTAAGTAAAAGTACACTCCTGAGAGGTAGGAGCGGGCCTGAGCAGAGAAAGAGTGGCTCAAGAGGTCTCCCCTTAACTTTTATGTTTTTATTTTTGGCTTTGACAGAAAAAAATAGTTTTAGAATTTCAACACAGAACATAATTTCGTAAGCTGAAATAGGGGCACACCTCACTTTAACCGCCATGGGTCCCAGCACGGCGGCATAGGCAGTAGGGTGCTACTGTGGATGCTGCGGCCACTGGGAAGCCTGGGTTAGGATCCTGCACCAACCAAACAGGACAGGTGAGGAAGAACGTGCCGGTAATCCTAGTTACGGAGGCCGGGCCAGAGGGTGGTAATGAGTGACAAGACCCTGTCAAAAACACCTAGCTCTTTTCTTTCTCTCTGCCTGTCTCCATCCCTCCTCTCTCACAAAAAGGGGGAAAACCAACAAGCAAGCAAGCCTGACTCAGATCACCGAAGGACATATAAACTGAAAGGAGCTTTGCAACAGGTACGTTCTGCCAAACACGGACTTCTTTGTTCAAAATAACCTCAGAACAGATCGTTTTTCAATCAATGGTGTTTCAAAGATGAAAATACATGACCCCTCTTAAAAGACATCCCAAGGAAGTTTAGAGCTGCACACCAGCTCTAACTAGAATAGAGCTGAACAGAGCTGAATGGAACTCTGAGCAGGGACCAGGAGGTCTGAGACCTAAGTCTCAGTAGCTAGTGACCCTGAGTCTCAGCAGGTGACATTAACTTAAAAAAATCCCAAAACCGGGGCCTGTAGGTGGCATGGTGGTTAAAGCACTGGACTCCCATTTGGCTGACTGTGGTTCAAGTCCTGGACCTAGTGGCTTGCTTTCCTTTTCTCTGTCTCTCTCTAGTCAAATAAAAACTAATAATAATAGTAATAATAAATAAAATAAAATGAATAATTCTTAAAAAAAAAAAAAGTCCACACATTCTAAGGAGCGAATAAGATAGAAGCATACAAATAACTATGACGCCAGTGTCTATATCAGCACCATCCCAGACAGGAACAGCTCCGTGGAAGTAGCCTGGCCCTCCTTACCCCCGCCGCCCTCATCACAGCGTCCTCTCTCTCCACAGTGACCTTTGACTCGTGAGTTTCCACGTATCTGCATTCCAAAGCAGTAGCGCTCAGTTCTGCCTGGTTTGGGACTTTATGTAAATGAAAGTGTCCTGCACGTACTCCTTAGCATCCCGCTGCTTTTGCTCAATGATGTATTTACGGGTTTGTCCCTGTGACGTGATACTCAGGGTTCACCCACTGGACGGCTGCTCGGACTGCACTGTGCACCTGCACCACCGCTCACTGACCCAGCCTACCCTCGGGGACGTTTCCGTTGTTTTCCACTGAGGCTCCTACAAACGACACTGAGAACGTTCCTGCACGTGGATCCCGGGCACACACACCTGAGGCTGTCCAGGGCACACACCTAGGTGTGGACCTGCCGACTCCCAGACAAGCGTAACTTCCATTGCACTAGCCGCTGCTGAGTGTTTTATCCCATCACACAGCAGAGAGGAGCTCCTGTTTCCTACACCCTCGACATCCCTGGGCATGCAGTTTAAGTATTCCAATCTGGTGAGTCCCAAGCGGCGTCTCACTCTGGTTTGAATCACATCTCCCTGACCGCTAAGGAACGTGGGCATCTTCACACAGCTGTGGACCATTTGGATTTCTTCCTCTGTTGCCATCTGCTCATCTTTTTCTCTACTGGGTAGGCTGCCTTTCCTTGACTTAACCTTTTATTAACAAGATATTTATTGAGTAGTTAGCATTGGATGAGGCGCCAGGGATTCACTGGTGAACAGCATAGCCGTCGGTCTCTCTCAGGGCTCCCAGTCTTACCACACAGGTTGCGGGGAGAATCTAGAGGCAGGTGAGACAGTACTGACTAGGGAAGAGGGCAGGCCGCGAGAGAAGGCGCGAGGAGACAGGGCTGTGCTCACTTGTGATGCCCTCGGTCATGATGTCCGTCATCTTGCAGCAGGAGGACAGCATCCTCATGCTCAGCTGGTCCACCACCAACACCTGCAAGGAACGGGAGCCCATGGCTGCGTGGTCGCTGCGCTTCACACCTGCTTATCGCATCAGACATTGAAACGCACACGAGAAACGCAGAGCACCGAGGAAGCGATGTTTCCTACGGACCCGCAGACTTCCGTCCCCCTCGCCCAAACCCAACCTAGAATGCATTTCCTCTCACATGACTTAGTCTTAGAAAACGTTTTTAAAATTTTTCCCAGAGGGCGTGTATGTTAGCCAGAGAGAGGCAGAAGGGAAGGGGGAAAGTGAGAAAGCACCACCCGTGAGAGACGGTCATGCCACAATTCCTTCTCCTCCACCTACCCTCGTTCAGGACTTTGGGTGCACGCGCGCACACACTCGTACCTGGTGTGTTTTTCAAGCTGCTGTGTCTGGGACTTTAATTGCAAAGTCCGCCACTTCGGGATCCAGCCACCTTAACCACCACGTCACAGGCTGGCTTGATTTTTAAAACTTTAAAACTTAACTTTTATTTTCCAAGATAAAGAAAATAAGTACTCATAAAATGCACCCAAAAAAAAGGGAAAAATCATCAATTGCACCAGCTTTCAGGGATGATCCTATTGGTGAGCTTGTTTTCAGGGCATAAACTTGTTTCCAGAGCAGAGGGAATGCTAGGGCCCACTCATACGGTACAGCACTGAGGGCTCTGTGCAGACATCAGGCCGGTGTACCTCCTCCAGCACACACATCACTGGGGTCAGTGCAAAGAACAAGAGCACGCCTGTCCTGGTGTAAGTTACACCTGCAACTTCAGCCTCCCTTTCCCATTTCCATTCAGCTCACAGTGCAGAAGGAAGCTGGCACCTGGAACTGCTATGCCTCTTCTCCTCCTTTAATGACGTAAGTCAAGAGAGAGAACAGGGAGCTGCACGCATAGGCCGACGGTGCGGGCCAGAGCTTTCTGCAGCAGCAGAAGGGCCAATTATAGCTCTCCCTTGGAATCCTGTGGCGGCTGCTCAGGAACTCCCGCAGACACTAACATCGCAGGTGCTCAAGGCCCTTACATAAAAGTGTGTGGTATTTGCACATCACCTGCGCATATCCTCCTGTGTATTTCAGATCATCTCTAGATTGCGTATACTGTCTAATGCAATGAACTGGGTTGTGGGGAAAGTTGTGATGCATTTTTGCACAGAAAAACATAGAAAAAACATGACGTTCCCAACAACCTAATAAATGCTATGTAAATGGCTGTTATACCATATTGTTTAGGGAATAATGACAAGAAAAAAATGTCTGTGGCCCGTCCATGGCACAGTGGTGGGAAAAGCTGGATTCCACAGGGTAACCATGGTTTGACTCCCTGGTCTAGTCAGCCTGACACACACTGGCCCATGCGTGAGTGCTCTATATCTGAGGGAACAGAGGACTAAAGGAAGGGGCTGTGGTGTGACCAGACCCTCTGGTGGGTGCCCTTCTCTCTCTCTCTCTCTCTCTCTCTTACATGCACATCTGCTCCATCATGAATAAGAGGAAAAACTGATTTTTTAAAAAGCTTGTACATGTTCAGTAGATGCAACCAATGTTTTTTTCTTAATATCTTGATCCATGATTGGTTGAATCCACAGGTACAGAACACAGAAATGCAGAGGGCCAACTGGAATTCTCATTTTACGAGGCAGCCTCCACAGGTGAGTATGAAATTCGTCCGTCTACACATCCGTTACCGACCAGAGGGTAGGAGAGAAGGATAGACACAGAAGGGCATCCCCACCCAACAGCCCTGCCTTCCAGGTAGTGGGTGACGGCTGGCACACCCTGATGTCACCAAGCCAAGGGCAAGACCTCAAAGGCTCCTATGCCAATCAGCTCTGTCGTTCCCAGGCCCAGTGGAATTGGAAATACGTAGGCAGGAAAAACCGTGGTCAAGAACGGTTGGTACTGGGGCCAACAGGAGCTGTGGTAGTTAAGGGCACTGGATTCCCACAAGGCTGACCACAGTTTGAGCCCTGGACCAGGCAGCTTGCTTCTTTCTCACTCTCTCTCTGTCCTTCTCTGGTCAAATATAAATAAATTTTTTAAAAGTTAAATAAAATAATTCTTAAAAAGAATGTTTGATATGGAACTAGTCCTACGGCCTAGTGGTTAAAGGAACTAGATCTCACATAGCAGACTGGCAGTTCGAGTCCCAGCCTTGGCTTGAAAAACAAGCTGGGTGTGTGTCCACAATCCTGATGCAATGGAGAGATGGGGAGAGAACTGCAGCAGGACTATGCCCACTTTGGGGGGGTTGCTTTCTCTGTCCCCTAATCCCCACTTCTCTCTGGTTAGTGCACATGCTCTCTGGCTTATAATGGGAAGAAAAAGGCTGGAATAAATCCTTCAACAATACTAGAAGTCCAATTAAAACCATATCCTCTGCTGGCCAGTTTGATGCTCAGCCTCAGACAACCAAGTGGCTATTAAATTGCTGACTCCATGCAGGGAAAATGGCAGAGGATGATGGTCCTGTATCGCGCACTCCAGGGCCTGGGCCGCCATCAACCTGACTAGCTCAGATGCTTGTTTCACCTGCTTTACAGTATCCAGCACTACGCCCGGTCTATGCGAATTAGCAAGCTCACTTCTGTCCTGCACTTACAGATACACTGGAAGAGGGCTTTCCAGACTGCTGGGGTGGTCACTAGGGCCAGAAGTCTCTTTTCCCCCTCCCAATACTTTATCTAATGGGTTCCAGGTAAGATTTAGTCTGAATCAACAATCCCACCACTAACTCCCTGATGAAGTAAGATAAGGTTTATCAGAGCCAGCCAGTGGCATGGTGGGTAAGGTGGCTGGATCCCACATGGCTGACTGTGGTTACAGACTGGTGGCTTAAAAAACACACCAGGTGGGACCACCAGGTGGCACAGTGGTTACGGCACTGGACTCCCACATGGCTGTCCACGGTTCAAGTCCTGGACCCGGTGGCTCGAAACTCATGCCAGGCACGACCGCATGCATGCCCAAAATCCCAAGAGGAGAATGGAGAAGGGACTGTGGCATGGGGGGGGTTTCTCACTCCCCCTGACCCCCATCTCTCCCCAGTGAGCAATAAACTTTATGACCAAGAGACTTCTTAAACAAGAGTGCAAAAAATGGGAGGCAACTCAGGTCACCTTTCTCCAGCTCGGGACTGCACCCTCCAGACACAGCAAAGCCTCATTCCTGCCTCGCACCCTTCCTCCAGCTGTACCCATCCTTGTTCTGGCCACATGAACTCACCTGCTCACCTGTAAGGCCATTAATTGCACTCTTGGACTCACCTTCCATTCCCCCTTCTTCTTGACCTTCTTTATCACATCATGCATGATCTCTAAAAATTAAAGAGGAAGAAAGAAAATGTAATGTAATACCAAGGATGTTAGAGGAGGTCATTTCCTCCCCTTGAGCTTTGTTCTCAAGCCAGGCAACTGGACCAACCTGTCTACTGCACCGTGAGCGACCACCATAAAGACAGTTCTCATGTCTCCTCAACACAGCGGTTCTCAAACTTCTTGGTCTTTATACTTTTAAATACTAAGGACCCCGAAGAATATCTGTTTATGTGGCTAAAAATCTATTGAAATTTACTATATCTGAAATTAAACTATATTAACAGACACAAGAATTTAAAATTCTCTCTTTTTTTGGGGGGGGAGTTTTTTGCTATAGGGTGAATGCACTCATCAGAAAGACAGAGCGAGACAGAGAGACAGAAAGTGAAAAATCACCCCCTAGGGTGGATGGCCAGGCCACAATCCCTTCTCCTCCATTCTCCTCTTGGGATCTTGGGCATGCACACCCATGTGCCCAGTATTGAGTTTAAGCCACTGGGTCTGGGACTCGAACTGCTGTTGGCTACATGGGAGTCAAGCAACGTAGCCATTACGCCATCTGCTGGTCCCTAAAGTTCTCTATTAAAAATGATATTTAGTGCTCGCTTTGGCAGCACATATACTAAGATGGTATGTATAATGGTTACATTGCTGGACTCCCACATAGTCGGCTGTGGGTAGAGTCCCAGGCCTGGCGGCTTAAAACTCATGCTGGGCACATGTGTGAGCATGCCCCAAATCCCAAGAGAATAAAGAAGGCATCATGGTGTGGCATCCCCTTGGGGGGTGATTTCTCACTTCCTGTCTCTCTGGCGAACACACTCACTTTATAGCAAAAATCTCTCTTAAAAAAAAAAACAAAACGATACATATGGTAATATCCTTGATTTAATTGTCATGAACCACATATATACTTTGTTTGTTTGTTTCGGAGAGGTTTTTTTTCCTTTTTGCTATAGGGCGTGTGCACTCTCCAGAAAGAGAGAGAGAAGCAGAAAGACAGAAAGTGAGAAATCCCCGCCCAGGGGGGATGGCAATCCCTTCTCCTCCATTCTCCTCTCGGAATCTTGGGCACGCACGCACACCCGCACGGCATGAGTTTAAGCCACCAGATCTGGGACTTGAACAGCGGTCAACTACATGGGAATCCAGCGACATAGCCATTATGCTACCTGCTGGTCCCAAAAATCCATGTTGTAAACAACAAAAATGTGCAATGATTGAATGTAAATAAGAAATCATAATTTTTTTGAAGTGGGGAAGAAAAAGAAATTAAGCTGAGGTTTAAAAATATTAATTTATGGGGCCATCGGTTGGCATAGTGGTTGGGGCACTGGATTCCCACATGGCCAACTGTGGTTCAAATCCTGGACCTGGCAACTTGCTTTCTCACTTTCCTTCTCTCTCTCTCTCTGTCCCTCTCTGGTCATATTAAAATTAATAAATAAATATAAAGTTAAATAAAATAATTCTTTAAAAAATAGTTAATACTAACAAATGGAATTAAATAAATAATTCACGTGTGCGCGCACACGGATCAACAGGTGGTATAGTCCTGGACTCCCACATGGTCTACCGCTGTTCCAGTTCCACACCTGGCAGCTTGAGAATCACTCCGGCACGTGTGCGTACATGCCCAAAATCCCAAGAGGAGAATGAAGAAAGGATTGAGGTGTGGTCATCTGCCCAGTCGGGGGTGATTTCTCACTTTTCCTTTCTCTATCTCTTTGGCAAGTGCATATACCCTATGGCAAAAACCTAAAAAAAAAAAAATTCATTAAAGATGACAATAAACTCATCATTGTACTGATATAACATTTTAACCTGAAAAATTGGTATTCTAATAAAAATTTGGGGGGAATATTGGCATTGTTCTACATCTTTTTGCAACCTTCTTAATATGTGGCTTCAGAGAAGACAGCTGGAGTCTGCTGTCAATCTGTCGTGACTCACGGAGCTCCTGGGAGACCGTCCTTGGGGGGCAGTACAGTTGAGGGGGCAAAGGACTTTGAGTGAAGATGGTTTTGACCTCATGAACTCTAAAGGGTCTTGGACTCGAGAGCCATCACCCTTAATGAATAATCAGCCATCAATCCTTGAACTCCGAAGTGGAGGGATGTTTTCCCTATCCTGAGCTTATCAGTGGACAGCTTGTGTCCCATATCCCGATTTGGGCAAGCCCCGGTTTCTACACCACCACAACCTCACGTCCACACAGAGGCTCATGGGAAAAGCACTCCTGCTGCTCTCTAAACCAGGCAGTATACAAGGCCGGGCAACTTGAAGGCCAACTGTCGCCATTAGCAAGTGTGTTTTATCCAGGATGCTCTCGAGGACCTGATGGTTCCCAGCTCTGCTTTGGACTAGTTTCAGTGATCTGATGTGTCATATCATTGGACTACAGTTTTTAAGAACTTCTTTTCTTATTACATACACACACTTACATAAACCTGGAAAATACAGAGGATTGGCCTGTGGCTTTGGTGGTTAAGGAAGTCAGATCCAACATGGCCAACCGTGTAGTTCAAGTCCTGGACCAGACAGCTTGAAAAGCATGCCAGGTATGCGTGCATACATGTGCACAAAATCTCAACAGAATTGGGAAGAGATGGGGGTATGACAACGCCTCACAGGGAGGTTATCTCCCTCTCCCTCGATCTCTCTGTCTCTATCTGGAGTGTACATGTGCCATCTGGCAAATTAAACAAAACAAAAACTGGAAAAACACAGAAAAGTACACTACACTTGATCTTAGCCAAAAGGCTGAGAAATGAGGGACCAGCAGTTAGCGTAATGGCTATGTCACTGAACTCCCATGTAGTCGACTGTGGTTCGCGTCCTGGACCTGGTGGCTTAAAACGCACGCCGGGCGTGTGTTTGTGTTTGCCCAAGATTCCGAGAGGAGAACGGAGGAGAAGAGACTGCAGTGTGGCCATCCCCCCTAGGGGGGTGATTTCTTGCTTTCTGTCTCTCTGTCTCTATCTGGCGAGCGCATGCACCCTATAGTTAAAAAAAAAAAAAAAAAAAGCAACAGCAACAACAACAAAAACAAAATAAAATAAAAACCTTTCCAAAAATAAAAATAAATAAAGGCTGACAAACAATAAACACAGAAAAAAATCAAAAAAATTAAAAATCCCATGTATTACTGTGTACTTAAAAAACAGAGACCAGCAGGTGGCATGGTGGTTAAGGTGCTGGACACTCCCACATGGCCGACCATGGTTCAAGTCCCAGACCTGGTGGCTTTCTTTCTCACCTCCTGTGTGTGTGTGTGTGTGTGTGTGTGTGTGTGTCTGGTCAAATTTAAATAAATGAATAAATAAATAAAATTAAATAAATAATTCTTTTAAAAAATCCCGGGACTAGCAGATGGTGTAATGGCTATGTCGCTGGACTGGTGGCTTAAACTCATGTCAGGCGCGTGTGCGTGCGTGCCCAAGATTCCAAGAGGAGAATGGAGAAGAAGGGATTGTGGTGTGGCCATCCTCCCTGGGAGGTGATTTCTCGCTTTCTGTCTCTCTGTCTCTCTATGTCTTTCTGGTGAACGCACGTGCCCTATAGCAAAAACCTCTCAAAACAAAAAACCTGAAAGAAAAATCACCTGTCGTCCCACCAACTTGAAATGCGTAATTAACAGCTTAATTACTACTATATTTATTTTTCTGCTCTTTTACATAGTTGAAATCATGCCTATGTAATTTTGTAACAAGCTTCATCTTAACATGCCAATTCCCCCAAGTTGGTAAAAATGAATCCTAGGATTTTAACACCTGGATAATAGTCCATAGTCCAGAGTTGAGTCAGCAATATTCCCAACAGCCATTTAGATGACTTCCCACGTCTCAGTGGGAAACAAACGCTCAGTAACAGGGTAGTGGTCACTACAGCTGCACAATGGAGCACTATGTTCCCACTAGAGATAATGATTTGGGGAAACACGCATTCATTCATTTGCTCTTTCACTCAATGAGCATTTGTTGAGTAACCACGGTTTCCAGCCAGCGCACTGAGCTCCAGGAATGAACAACGTAAGACCCACTCGGCACCCGTGGAGCTGACCCTATGGGGAAAGAGGCGGTCACCAAATGAAAAGAGCACTCTAGACCCCCAAGGGCTCAGAAGCAAATAAACGAGGTGTTAGAACAGAGAAAAACAAAACAGAACAGGTATGCACAGCTACCTGACCCCGAGGAAGGGCAGGTCACTCAGAGGAAGGGGCGTTTCTGCTAGACCTGCTGAGGAGGAGGCCAGCTAAGCCGTGGGGAGAGAAGGAACTGCACCAAGCTTGGAATGGAAAAGGAAAAAGCTTGGGACTGAAGATGGAATAAGCTGAGGCTGGAGACCAGATCACCGCCCAGTGCGCTGGGGCCTTGTTACGGAGTCGGACTGGATCTGCAGGGCACCTGAGAGCCACGAAGGCAGAGAAGCGATCGCAGGGGCTGCAGTCAGCTGGGAGGCAAGGCTGGAAGAGGGGTGCAGGCAGGAGGCCCTGGCGTGTCCGAACATGACTGGTGGTAGAGGGGACGGTGAGGAGCGGGCAGCTGGCACGCAGTCCCACTGCAAGGATATATGCCGAGAAGTGTGTCACGAAGCAATTTCGGCACTACGCACACGTCATCGAGCGCAGGTATGCGGACCTCGACGGCACCGCCAACCCCACACCTCGGCTGGACGGTGCAGCCTTCGGAATCAAGGAACCACCGCCACTCATGGCCGAAACACGGACCAGAACCGTGACTGCTGGAAGTAACACGAACAGGGCTGCCGATGACTGCGCGTGGGAGAGAGAAGCCACAGACCAGGCCCGGCCTTGTTCACGGCTCTGTACGTGGAAACTGAGGAAGGAAGAGATCGCTCCTCTTCTCAGAGACTGGCAAAGTGAACTTATGGCTAATTTAAGGCTCATGACCACTTATTTAAAAAGTGAAACTGGGCAGTTTAATCTCACGGTTTTTTTCTTCCTTACTGGCAGAGGGAGCGTGTGCTCCCCAGTGGG